GGGGCCGCCGACGCCGCCGGCGGCGAGGAGGGATGCGGCGGCGCGTGGACGTCGTCGTGGAGGGCGCTGGCGGCGCGGACGTGGGAGAGGAGGGAGCCGGCGGCGCGTGGATCTGGAGCGGAGGGAGCCGTCGGCGGTGTTGCGGTCGTCGTCGTCGAGGAGGGAGGCCGCCGGCGGCGAGGAGGGATGCGGCGGCTCGCGGGAGTGGGAGAGGAGGGAGCAGGGCAACTTTTCCAAGTGTGGGGGGAGAGAGAGAGGAGGGGGAGGGAAATGAGTGGTGGAGAGGAGAGGATAAAGATGGTGGTGGAGAGGATAAGGATGAGGATGACTAGATTTTTTTTTGGTAGGTACTATTTTTGCAGACGGACCACGTAAGGTGCGCCTACGAAAATCTATTTTCGCAGGCGTCGCTTAAGTGGTCCGCCTGCGAAAACAGGCGGACAGCGAACTTCATGCCGATTTATATTTTTTTTAGGCGGTCATTTGGTTCCCAGAATCATGTCCGACTACGAAAATAAAACCCCCACGTCGGGGAAAATGCCTTTTCTTGTAGTGTGATACCCGTTCAACACAAAACATATCAACATTGTTTCACAACAGGTGTATATTTGCGACATCTCTACCTCCACCTCTATAACTCCTCATCTCTAGAGCCATTAGCAAATTAAACATTGTATACACACGTTCTCCAATTATGGGCTCATGGCAGCATGCCACCAATCAAAGATAAATGTTGACAAATAGCTACGTGGTTTAGACCGGTACTTAGTATCAATACTAATATATTTAATACATCTCTACCTACTGAAATATTGGTACCAAAATATGCCAAAAAATTGGTACTACTATAGATTATTTGGTAGGATAAAGAACCAAACAACCCCATAATATTTATATCTTAGAATGGAGGAAATATAAAATATTCTTGGTGAGGTTATATATTTCATGATTATCTATAAAGTTAAAGACTATATAGATACACTCCCTCGAAACACATGATTAAAAAAAGAGAGGAATAAAAAAGAATACATAATGTTAACAGGAATGTAAGTACAAAATAAAAGATTATAAAATATAGAAATAATCTTTTAAATATATAGACCATAGAAAAAACATGGAAATTGGATGAGAGATATATAGAGTCAAAATTTTCCAATCGGTTCAAGCTCTTCCTAACATGTCTCCGTAATCTTTATAAGTGTGTCCATTTCATAAGAATTTTAAAGTAAAGAATATGATTCAACCCTTTATTTCAAATACTATAGTAGGATTTTTTTTTATAAGATTAAAATTATTTTTCTTACAAATGAAAGTGGGCAAGGATCTCATACTAGCTAGTAGTTAAGAAGAACGGAGGGCGCACATGTTTTTTCTGATAATAAGGGAAACACACGTCCGGCCTCTAAATCAAATATGCATGTATTTTTTACCACAATTTATTACAAGATTACATCATCAGTTGGTAGATTCCTGTTTTTAAGAATAAACAACTCATTACTCAATAAAATCCATAGTAAATCAACCACGAGGTCATGTTACTGAATCTCAATCCATAGTAAATTTTTACGAGGACGGAGGACCATTTCAATGGTGCGCAACTAAAACGCTGGCCGCTGATATAAAATAATCGAATCCTGGCCACTGGCTGCACGTCTTTCGTGGCGATTGGCGAACATATATATGTACAGTTCTACTTCTACACTCCATCTAATTGAAACCACCGGCAGGGAGAAGTCACTTGATCAGGTCAATTAACTGAATATTAGTACTACTAGCTGGAATTAATGTTGACTGCAAAGTGATTCGTCCGAGGATGAGCCAGAGCGACAGCCATCCACCATCCATGCATCCATGATCCATCCATCGCTTGGTAGTAGTTGGTAGTACTTTTTTTAGAACTAGTAGTAGTTGCCTAGTTGGTACTCCCTCCATTCTAAAATGAATAAATGTAGTTTTGCATGATTCACATTTAACGTTTAAGCGTTCGTCTTATTTAAATTTTTTTTTATGATTAGTATTTTTATTGCTATTAGATGATAAAACATGAATAGTACTTTATGTGCGACTAAATATTTTTATTTTTTTCACAAATTTTTCAAATAAGATAGACGGTCAAACGTTGGACACGGATATCCACGGCTGCACTTATTTTAGGACGGAGGAAGTACATGGTAGTACTATCTTCTTCTTCATTGACTCTTTTTAGTGAGCATACTCACCTTTTGTGATGTAGATATTTTTTTAGTAATAAACTTTATTCTAATATTTGCTTAAAATGCAATTATTACATATAGAGGTTGCAGTGTAAACAACAATGAAATATAAAATCATGGCTTGATTAAAAATAAGAAGTCTACTTTAAAATACCACCTAAAGACAGAGATACACATGGCTAAACTTTCAAACACCGGTGGAGAAACGATTTTTACTCCCGGTTTGCAACCCCCTTAGTCCCGGTTTTCCAACCGGGACTACGAATCCGGGACTAAAGATCGCTATCTTTAGTCCCGGAAATCGATCTTTGGTCCCGGTTAGTAACACCAACCGGGATTAAAGATGGAGCCATTTTTAACCCCGGTTGGTATTACTAACCGGAGTAAAAATGAAGCCAGATCCGGTTAGTATTTTCTTTTTTCTTTTATTGTTTTTTACTTTGAATATTGATTTCACCACATCCCCAAATCATCCCCAAAATCACGGAACAAAATATCATCTCCAAATCCCAAATCGATCATCTACAAATCCACCATATCCAAATACATCACAAATATTCAAAACAAATACATTACAAATTCTAAAAAGAAACATCACAAATACATCACATATTTACATCGCACAGATCAAATACATCACAAATTCTCAAAAGCAAATTCATCACAACTCCATGGGAAAAAAACAAATCCACTGGTCGCTTCACCGCTGTCACCTGGCCGCCACCCTCCGCCAGGCCGCACGGCCGCAGCGCACGCGCCGCAGCCCAGCCGCTGCCGCGGCTGCATCCGCCGCTCGCCACGCGCGACCGCCGCCTGCGCCGCCGCAGCTGCATCCGCCGCCCGCCGCCGCCGCGGCGCTTCTGCCGCCCGCCGTTGCCTGCGCCGCCACAACTGCATCTGCCGCGCGCGACCGCGCCTATGTCGGGGAGGGATCTGCCGTGGCCGCAGGGGAGGGGGAGGAGAGGGGAAGGGGAGGAAGGGGGAAGAAGAGAAGAAGGAGATGAGAAGATGAGAAGGGAGAAGAAGATTGGAGAAGATAAGGGAGAGGAGGAGAGATGAGAGGATGAGAGGATAAGGCTGTTGGTCCTCTCGAGGAGGCGCGGTGCGATTTTTTTTTCGTTTTTCTTTTGTCTCGGTTGTTATAAGCAACCGGGATTAAAAATAGATCTTTAGTCCCGGTTGGTCATAGAGGGGTCTGACACAGCCTGCCTTCTTTCGAACCGGGACTACCAACCGGGACTAAAGATCAAAAAGTGACGTCAGCTTTTTCAACCGGGACTAAAGATCATCGGTTCTTATTCAAACCGAGATTATTGTAGATTTTGGACAACCGACCAAAGCTGGTTTCTCTACCATTGAAATGTGATTGGTAAGAGTATAACCGTTTGTTTCTCCCCAGCGGCTTATAAGATGCATTTAGTTTTTGTCTACCTTAAAATAGAATACATAATCTCTGTAATCAACGGTTGATCATTGTGCTGATTGGATTTCACTCACATTCGATAACCAACGTTGAACCAAAAATAAAAAAAAAACGTCGGAAAGTAAATGAGTTGTAAATTAATCATTCAGCCAAATCTCGCCACCATCATAGCCATCAAATCCAGTTTGACGAGAGCATTGCTACCAAGGACACCACGTCATCAGAGAACCCCCAATGCGACTCCTCCAAGAAGGTCACAACATATAAGATGTCGTTGTCACTATTTCCAACTTCCAAAACTAGGTTTTAACCCAGAGATTCTAAAACTAGATTCCTAGACTAGGATAAACGGTCTACATTCGCTGTCAGGTAAATTTAGACAGTGTATCCTAATTATACAAATCTAGACAGTTTATCTTACTATAAATTTAGTCAGTCTATCTAAATTTGTAGTAGTCTAATCTAAGGCCCTATTTGATTCAGCTTAGGATTATTATAATCTGGATTATTAGTAGTAAGCTAAAACAAACAAGTAGATTATTATAATCTATAAGCTAGATTAGTATAATCCAATAAACTCCTCTATAGGAGCTTTTTCTAGATTATTGAGTGGCTAAAGACCCACTACCCTTATATGCCTCTAATAATCCAGAGAAACAAACAACTCGCAGCTTATTCTGTCAGCTTATTATAATCCAGCTTATAGTAATCTGATTTAATAATCTAGTTACAATAATCTTAACTGAAACAAACAGGGCCTAAGACTAGTTATATTTCCAGACACAGCAGTAGGTGGTTAGAAGATTTGTTGGAGGGATTGTATCACCTAAAAGTCTCTAATTTTGGACTTGAGAGGATGTTACGGGAACCTTGGTGATGCTAATCGGTACTCCTATCCTTAAAAAAACAATTTTTGACTATGTATCTAGATATAGCCAACGTCTAGATACTTAATTACATAGGTAAAAGTTGTCTTTTTTTTAGACGGAGGATATAGACTTGTAGATTGTAGACTAGTCTGGTTTAATGTTGGTCGATCACATTACATTTCAATCCAAATAACACAATAACCATCCATTAAATACATATAGTTAAAATTTTAACTTGCAATTAATAGCTAAAATTCGATTGTTTTGGACGGGAAGTAGTAGACAGTACAAGCTGAGTGGTTGGTTAATTTGTTTTCCTTGTTGGCGTCTTTCGCCGTCGTTATCGATCGATATCGACGGATCGATCCGGGAGAAGTGACATCGATTTTTTTCAGGTTTGAATCATATCGATCGCATCGCTTGACTGGCTGCTACTAGCAGAGAGAGACGAGACGAGATAGAGCTAAGCTTACAACTTCCCCGGTCAACGTAGCCGGCGCAACCGCGCGCGCTCCAGTCCAAGCCTAGCCCTACTTATGCGCGCCACCGCCCGCGCACGCACGCACTCGCCGAGGAGAATTGGAGGAGGAGACCACCTCGCCGGAGAGAGGGGGAAACCACCGTGTGCTTAGGTCGCCGGCGGCGTGCGTGCGTGCGTGAGTGAGTGAGTGAGAAGTGAGAGAGAAGAAGAAGGGGCCGGGCTTTTGATTTCGTTCTCCATGGCTCGAGCCGCCACTGCGGCGGCGCTGCTGCTCCTGCCGCTCGTCGTCGTCGTCGTCGCTGCCGCGGCGGCGGCGGCGGCGGAGGAGATGAGGTACGGCGGCGGGGAACGCGGGCGGAGGCTGGGGCGGCACTGCGGCGGCGGCGGCGGTGGCGGCGGGGGCGCTTCCACGCAGGTAAGTGACTGGGTTTATAACTCTACTATTGTAGGCGTATATACGTGGAAATGTCAATGGCGAATAGATTTAAGTGGTGTTGCGTTGCCAACTTATCTCGTAAGTATCTTTACGGCATGGTCACAGGAACATATATTTCCTTGTGCATAAATATTTTTAAAATCTTGATTCAAATCCGGACTCTATATTTAAACTGGATGTACACGTGCATAAATATTTTTAAAATTTTGATTAATATCCAGACTCTATGTTTAAACTGGATGTACACCGTCCATACTTACTATACATATATACTCTCTCCTTTCATATTATAAGTCGTTTAATTTGATTTTTTTTTCTACTTCAAACTTATTTAATGTGACTAAATTTATAGAAAAATTATAGTAATAACATTTTCAATACAAACAAATATATTATCAAAATATATTTAATGCTATATTTAATTAAACTAATTTGGTGTTGTAAATGGTGCTATTTTTTCTATAAATTTAGTTAAACCCAAAAAATTATAACTAAGAAAAAATCAAATAACTTATAATATTAAAGAGAGAGGAAGTATATCCGATGATCAAATTGGATAAAGGATAATATAATACTAACAAGTATATATATTCTCAAAAATACTACAATACTAATCCTTAATTTACCAGCAGGTTCTGTAAATATCTCCGAATAGAAAATTACGTTTACCAAAGTGACATTCAAAACCTTTTTTAGAAATTAAGTTCAATTCTATATATGCTATATCACTGCATATTATCGAAAGAGGGCGTCCTAGAAATTGAGTAATATAGTATAAGGACATTCGTAATAGTTAGGATCCCTTTGAATCGCAGAAATAAAAAAACGAAGAAATAGAAAAAACACAGGATTCTAACAGGAATTAAAATGTAAAACAAATGATTGCAAAATATAGAAAAACACACATAAATAACCGTTTAAACCGTAGGAAAAACTCAAAAATCGGATGAGGGAGATAGACCCAAAGCAAAATTTCCAAGAGCTTTGAGCTCTTGCTAAATTTCCTCCAAAATCTCTATAGGATTGTCTATTCCATAGGAGTTTCAAATGATTGGATAGGATTCATTTCTTTGATTCAAAAGTATTTATAGAAATTTTTTATATAGTAGAATTGAAATCCTCTAAAATACTGCTATGTTTTTTCTCTAAATCAAAGCATGTTAGAATACGTTCTGGATTGTCTACTGTAGGTTGGGAGTACTAACATATTTGGCATTGACTAATTAATGCTCGTGGAATCACGGGCTAGGTTAGTTGTGTCGTATTCACGGTCATACCCAGATCTGTGTAGACTGGTGGTTGTAGCGTGCGCATGCAAGGGTGGATCACTGCATGTTACTGTATGTTAGCTGCGCCATGAATGCTATCCGCAGTGACCAGTAGTAGGGCACCAGCTGTTGAGGTTCAGGTCTCCTGCTTCTGCTGCTTTCATGCAGCCTTTGGACCGTCAACATGCTGGGCTGTACGTTCAGTAAAGTAGGGCCATTAATCTTTGAGGCCCACTTCCATTCACCCTGGGCCGGGCCGGGCCGGGTGATACCTATTCCATGAGAGTTTTTTTTTTCCTCTTGTGCTTCTCATCGTCTTCTTGTTAACTTATTATCAGCCACAACCAAATTTTGAAGTCCTTTCATCGTGGTATATTTTTATGTTAGATTTACATATTATTTATTTATTTATTTATTTTATTTGTTGTTGTATGGTTTATGCGCTATAAGGAAAATGATTAGAGCAGCATGATTCTTTCCCCGCATGGAAGCTTCTTTGGGATCAGCTTAAAGAACAAGCATATTGCAACCTTTTTAAGTTGTGTTTACTAGGGCTTAAATTTAGACCTCTAGCTACGAATTGAACGTATATCAACTAGTTAAATTTCTTGTGGTGAAAATAATCCACCCGGGTTCAAGTCCTAAACTTGACATAGGTGCTCGCATTTACGACTAATTATTATTATGGTCAGTGGCAGATATGCCATGCAGCTATGGGGTCTTGAATCCCCACTCACTACTAAATTTTTTTGACATATATCTATTAGAAGAGTGGACTATAGTTTTGTATAGTTTGTTCAGCCCTCCTGTTAGTTCTTTCTAGATCCGTCTCTGATTCTATTTAATTATTCTTTTAATGGTAGGTGACGTACCCATCGATACGTTGCTTAAATCGGTAAGAGAGGACAGACAATTTAATCATAGTCTCGTCAACAGAATTATTATACACGCGTGACCAACTTAAGTATGATGGAAAATGCCTAAGAGCAAGTTAAAAGGAGTGCACGGGGAGGGAAGATCGCTAATTCACTAGGGCAGGATGGGCTTGTTAGGACAAGAGCAATGCGTCACATTATTTGTTCTGCCTGGGGATGTCACATTGGATGGAACTTGTACCAAGCAACTTAACCCACAGTGCAAGCTAATTGAAATGGCTCCACCAACATCACTTTTTCATCTTTCACCTATCTCTCTCTCTCCTCTTTACCTTTCCCATCCATCCCCTCCCAACAGATTCCTCTCCATCTTCGGGCAACCCCATCGGCGCCTGCCTCCCTCCCCTACCCGCCTCAGTGTTCAATGGCGGTGGCGGTGGCGAACGGCATCCCACGGGCTCGGCGCCCGACGGCGGCGGCAGACTTGGCCACGTCTCCTCTTGCGTGCCCCCGCCACCTCGTCCGCGTCTTCCTCGGCGCGAGCAGCGATGTCGCCCGCGGCGGATCGAGGGCGGCGCGAGGCGCGAGCGCCGGGACGGCCCGAGCGGCGGCGACGGCGGTGGCGGATCGAGGGCGGCCCGGCGGAGCGGCGGGGTGGCGAGATCCAACCCCCCTCTCCTCTTCCTAAGCGGCAGCGGCGGGGCGGCTAGGTGCCTTCTCGTTCACCTCCTCCTCGTCGCCTCTCGTCCGGTCCTCTCTCTCTCCCCTCATCTCGCCGTCTTCGGTGGAGCTCGGCACGGCGGATGACGGCGGCGGCGTCGAGCGGCCGCGGCACCTTTGAGTGGCGTGGCAGAAGACGAAAACGGCGTCAAGCGGCGCAGCGGATCTCACGGCCGCGGCACTGTGGATGACGGCGGGGCGCAGGCACAGAGCCACGGACAACGGCGGCGGCAGCGGCGCTCCTACTCCTCTCCCTCTCCGGCGAGCTTCTTCGGCGTGGAAGTGGCTTCTCCGGCGAGCTTCTTCCCTCTCTCTCCTGCTCTGTGTGTGGCATGCTTTTTCTCTGACAAATTTAGTTGAGGTTCTCGGAGCCAAAACAAGCCACACGAACCTAGTTTTTACATGGGTCCCACCTCCTTCTCTCCTCCACACGGACATTGTGCATAGTTGGATAGACTTTGCCACATGTCATGTGTGTGCATTGTGAACACCCTTACGGCTGCACAAAACACATGTTTTTTTTTCTTTTTTTTAAAAAAGATCAGCACCGACTGCACGTCTGTTACGGAGTGCGATAGATTGTGCTATCAACTGACGATGAGTCGCCCACTTTATTTTCCTTTAGTTCTTTCTCCACATATATAGAAATTAGAATGACATAGCATATTTTATAGTCCACTAAGTTAGTCTACTGCACCCACTCTGCTCTAATTCCAATTTCGTCTGCTGTTCAAAGTGCAGTGGATTCGTAATGTGACAACCGACAACAAAGCTTCTTCATCCTGATTAATCCCCTGAATCAACTCTAATTAACAAGCTTATTCGCCCATAGTAGAATAGTGCGTGACGCTTATCGATAGGAATTTGTCATATATGTTGGAGCTGCATATAATTGCTCGATCAAGGCATCTTTAAAAAAACTCATTAATGATAATAGGATACGATAATAACTGAAACGCCCTTTTGCATTATTGCGCTTGTCGGTGCCGTTGCCATTCCCATTTTTCATAAAGTGGCACCATTCATTATGAAGCTGATTTGAATTAATAAAAATTATGCTTTCAATCGAATTATCATTACTTCATCATGTGATCCTTTTTCGATTATATTTCTCTCAAACATCAGCGACAATAATTGGATATGCTCCCATGTGTTAAAATAGAAAAAAAAAATGAACCAACGCAGTGCACATGCTCATTTGTTTATGATCCATTCACAGACATGCGCATGAGAGCAGCTCAAGAACAAACAAAATATGCGCTACAGAATTTGGATATCATTTTATAATATCCTGATCACCCTGGGCCCCGTGTTTAAGCTGTTCAAGGCACGTGCTGCGTTTCAGTATGAAAATCGAAAATATTGGGTGATTAATGTAGAGTGACAGTGTGACACACCTTCACTTTGAGGGAGCAATTATGTTCCACGTGGCCCATAAAAGATGACATCGATCTTATATTAAGAACAGCAAATAAAAATATCTCGGCAAAATATTTCAAAAAGAAACAACGGCAAAATAGAAAAGCACTAGCTCCCTCTCATCATAAATATTTGACGCGACTGATGTAGTTTGATCGCTCGTTTTATTTAAAAATTATATGCAAATATGAAAAATATATAAGTCACACTTAAAATATCATTGATAACAAAACAAATGATGACAAAATAAATAGCATTTACACGATTATTTTAATAAGATGACTGGTCCAACTTTATTGGTAAAGTTAATTGTGTCAAAATAATTATGAGATGGAGGGAGTATTATGCATCAAAATTTATTTAAATTCGTGGAGCATCAAGTATTGGTGACCAAACTATATAAGATTCGATATGTATGGTTAACAATTTAATATTGTACTCGCTTCGTTTTAAGTTACAGGATGTATTTTGTTTTTTAAAGTCTTGACCAACAGTTACTTCATTAAATGTATCCTTTTGAAAAAAAATGATACCACTCGATTCGTATTCAAAAATACTTTTTTATAATTATATTTTTCGTGTTATATAAATATTACTTGTTGGCCAAAGTCCTACATCCTATATTTTAAAACCAAGGGAGCAGTAAACATCGTTGGTGAAATCTAGAATAATGATCCATAGTTACAACGCCAGCAACAAACACGGTATAAAACAGTAATCATCGATCCTGCAGGTTTTGTTTGATCCTTTGCACGTTATAAATTTCACATAACCATGGTTTGAACTTGGAAATGTTTTAGAATTTCGAGTGTAACATTTGGAGCTAAAAATGAGTTCACAATTAATAGACGTATATTAAGGGTTTAAATGAGTTCACAATAAAGGAGGGTAACTCATCTGGGTTTAAAATTCGTTGTCCACGTATATTAAGTACACAATAAGGACGTTTTCAGTGGGATTTATTGATGGTATTGGGAGTTGCTGCTGGTCTCTACTCCCTCCTTCCAAAAATATAAGGCCTATTCCTTTTTCATCAAAACATCAAAACCAAAAAGCAATTAACTCACTCACCATATAGCAAAACCAATGAACATGTAACCAATAAGTATTAGAATGGCTTCTTGGTTTTCAATCAACAATTTAATTTAGCACACAGGACTCATATTTTTTGAGAAATCGAAGAATGAAATATGTCTCATATTTTTTTTTGAAGGAGGGAGTATTTATTTTCTTCTTTTTTTTTTTGAGAAACTGCGTACTTCATCCATCCCATAAAAAACCAATCTAATACTAGATATGACACATCCTAATACAATGAATCTGGACATACATCTGTCCAGATTCGTTGTACTAGGATATGTCACATCCAGTCCCAGATTTATTTATTTTTGGACGGAGGGAGTAAGTAGTAACTCTATTTAAGTCACATTTGTACAATCGTCCTCTTGAGAAGATAGAATAAAACCCTTAGGAACAAATACCCTGTAAAACAGCTAGAGAAACAACTTCTTTTACGAGCCTATGTGCTACCATATTCGTCGAGCAATGAACTCTGAAAGACGTTTAATCTGGACTTAAACTAACTTCATGATTCTATAAATAGAACGGTTTAGTTCTGACTAAAATACCGTCCTAGTCATTTCCATAGCATCATTATTCAATTAGAACGGTCTCCATTTCTTTTAATGTGGGTTAGAAACGTATTAGTGTGCGTATGTTCACAAATGCTTCATTCATTATAAAAACTTCTGCTAGTAGAAGCACCAGTGATGCGTGGTAGAGTTGTGGGTGTATAATTTTACCCACCATAATTTAAATTCTGGTGCCCACGAATATTACGTATATGCAAATGAACTTTCGAACATGATTTTAGTGAGATCAGTGATGTGTCGCTAGTTTCCGTCTCTTAGAGCATGTGTTAGGGGACATATTAGTGGGGTGTTACGTGTGTAGTGGTGTGTGCGTGTGTGTAAAAAGAAAACTTCCGCTATATAAGTAGGAGTATGAAACATGTGGAGTAGATTCGGATGAAACTGACTTTTTTTTTTTTTTGCTGTGATGATAATTTGACTGTCACTGTCAGTCGTTGGCTAGACGTTAATACTCCTACTTCCGATAGATTATAAAACCAAACCCCGCACGCTTCGCCTTTGCTCGCCGCGTCTTCCCTTCTTCTCTCTCTCTCGGCCTTAACTAAACCCGAATCTTTTCTCTTAATCCCGCGCGCAGTGCACGAATCTCAAAGCGGCCCCGGCTCCTTCCCCTTCACCGGCGGCGATGGCGCCGGCTCCGGCTCCGGCGGGCTCGGCCGACCAGTTCCGCGGGCAGGCGAGGCTGCCGCGGTTCGCGGCGCCGCGGCGGTACGAGCTCCGCCTCCGGCCCGACCTCGACGCATGCGTCTTCACCGGCGACGCGTCCGTGGTCGTCGACGTCTCCGCGCCCACCCGCTTCCTCGTCCTCAACGCCGCCGACCTCGCCGTCGACCGCGCCTCCATCCGCTTCCAGGTAGTAGATATATAGACCTCTCTGCACCTTCTCCTCCTCCTCCTCCTCCTCGCCGCGCCGCAGTCTCACTCGCCGTGGTTGGGGTTGGTTGCAGGGGTTGGCGCCGACGGAGGTGTCGCTGTTCGAGGACGACGAGATCCTGGTGCTGGAGTTCGACGGGGAGCTGCCGCTCGGCGAGGGCGTGCTCGCCATGGACTTCAACGGCACGCTCAACGATCAGATGAGGGGATTTTACCGAAGGTAATTTTTAATGCATTTAAATCACCAATGGCAGTGGCAAGTTCACAGCCTGAAAGCTGGCACTTTCGTTTGTTGAAATTTCTGCTTTATTCCGTGAACCTCTGTTGAAATGCTCGGAATCGTCAGTGCAAAATCGTGGAGTTGTAGGCAAAGGAGATAACTGATAAATATATAGTCTGATGGTCTGCCTACTTTGCACTTATATTGATTGTGATTCACAAATCAGTTGCAAGAATACTTTTCTATAGATGCTGAGGGCTTTTTATGCAAGCATGTGGTTGGAAAGTAGTTATGAATCTGTGCTTTGGGTCTATTTCGACAAGTTGTGTGTATCATCTACATTTTCATATGAGAAAATGCCATTCGTTGCAGTAAATATGAGTATAAAGGGGAGACAAAAAACATGGCGGTGACACAGTTTGAGGCTGTGGATGCTCGACGGTGCTTCCCCTGCTGGGATGAGCCTGCATTCAAGGTTAATTCTTATGATAGCACGACTTGTTCAATAATCATAATTTTCTTGTCCAGATGTTTGATGCAATATGTGTTGACATATCATATCTATTTTTTCTGTTGTTTCCCCTCTTCATATTTAATATTTTCAGGCAAAGTTCAAGTTAACACTTGAAGTTCCATCTGAGCTAGTAGCATTGTCCAACATGCCAGTAGCTTGTGAGACAATTGCTGGTCCTATCAAGACCATCCACTACGAAGAATCGCCGCTTATGTCAACTTATTTGGTGGCCATAGTTGTTGGTTTGTTTGATTATGTAGAAGGTGTAACATCGGAAGGTAACCATCTTTATTCTCGTCCCAGTAATTCAACATTGTTGATGGTTCATAGTTTCTCACATTGAAGGTGCTTTAGGAGCCATTTTTTCCCTTTTACATTCCATTTCATTAGTGTGTTTAATTGTGTTCAGGCAACAAAGTCCGTGTGTACACTCAAGTTGGTAAGAGTAGTCAAGGGAAGTTTGCACTAGATATTGGAGTGAAGTCATTGAATTTCTACAAAGAGTATGATCACAACCTGTACCTGTATTGCTTTCTAATTAGTTTCTAAACAACTATAATAATTCAGCTAATGCATATTCTATGTGCCCAAGGTTGTTGCTTGAATTAAATCATTAACCAATAGTTCATTCCTTCTGTGCTCTAGCTACTTTGATACTCCATATCCACTCCCTAAGTTGGACATGGTTGCTATTCCTGATTTCGCTGCTGGGGCCATGGAGAACTATGGATTGGTCACTTACCGGGAAGTTTCTTTGCTTTTTGATGAGCAGTCTTCATCAGCATCTTTCAAACAGAATGTATATATCATAACTCAGATTCTTTTTAGTTACATATTTCATCATTTATGGTTCACTTTGTAAATAGTGATGCATTATTATTTATTAGACATTTTCTTTGGGACGTCCAAATTCCTTCAGTGTAAGCAACTGTTCTTTTTAGGTTGCAATTACCGTGGCACATGAACTGGCTCATCAATGGTTTGGTAATCTTGTAACCATGGAATGGTGGACTCACTTGTGGCTAAACGAGGGTTTTGCTACATGGGTAATCAATTATACAACACTGAATTTTAGAAATTTAATATCAGGATACTACTGTATACTGAATGGTTGGACCTTTTATTTCGACAGATGAGCCATTTGTCAGTAGATTCTTTTTTCCCTCAATGGAATATCTGGACACAGTTTCTTGATAGTACAACCTCTGCTCTCAAATTGGATTCACAAGCTGAGTCCCATCCTATTGAGGTAATAGCTGTTTGATACATGCCATGGTCTGGTACTCTGGTTCAATGGTTCAAAACATTGATGCATTTCTTATGGTGTACACCAAATTTGTCTAAAACCGTAAATGCTATGCATTATATCGCTGTAGAAAGTAGAGAATATATTGTTGTGCAAATTTTGACCATGATAAGTGACGCTGATGCATAATATGCTGGTTACATTCTTAAATATCCACTAGCTAATTCACTGTTGAATCTTGACTTTTCTATGTGGTAATAAGATGGAAATGTTAATTTTGAGGTCAAATTAATAAGTGCACCAATACAATTACACTTCAGCTGGTGGCACTTTAACATTTTGTTTCAATGCTGACTAGTGATTTGTTTCAATATTTGTTGCTGTTTACTCAGGTTGAAATACACCATGCCAGTGAGGTAGATGAGATTTTCGATGCCATTAGCTATGACAAGGGTGCTTCTGTTATTCGTATGCTACAAAGTTACCTAGGTGCAGAGCGTTTTCAGGTTTCATACTGGCTCTCCTTGAAATTCTTCAGAATCGTGTTATTCTTATCTGTAGTGAGCACCTTTTGCTCAACTGTATTGCTTAGAAGCGTATGAAAATTACCCCAAACCATTTTCTTTCTTTGCTCTCGGAGGAAGCATTGACCCTTTAGTCTGTCCACTATTCATTTAGTTGAAAAACGTCAAGTGGACCTTTGGATATTCCAAGTTTCCAATATTTTAAATGCGTGAATGATCCTTAGGCGATACAATTGGTGTTAATGTTCTTTTGTTAGTGATTTTGTAAGTGAAATTCTTTTTTTAAAAGCTTCCTATATTTTTTAGGGCAAATATTACCATTTCCCCCCTAATCATCTTGCTTTTGTTTAACGAGTACCCTGTTATCGATGACGAGTCAACCATTAATACTTCATTGCACGTACTTGCATGGTACTTTTGGACATATACTCAAATGATATAAAGAAGCAAGATTCAACAGATGAAAATATTAATCCTGTAGAGAGAGGCACAACTTCAATAAGGGTTTGATGGCCATCTTGTGTACTTCTCTAGGGTGGGTAACAATTTACAACCTGTAACACCATGTACAAGTTACAGGAGTTGGAGCTATCTTTGCCCTTTTTTTGTTGATCATATCATAAATATGAACAAATTGTAAACCCACTAATATGATAAAGCTCCATTTTTGTTAATTACATATTTATCGAAGGTCAATTCTTGCTTACTTCTTTATCTTGTTTCTTCATTATTGCTGTGTGACTCCACAAATTCTCCTAATGCATCCTCTTGTACTAAACTTGTGGAACTGTTACTCTTTCAGAAAGCATTAACTTCATATATAAAAAAGTATGCCTACTCAAATGCTAAAACCGAGGACTTGTGGGCTGTTCTTGAAGAGGTATCTGGTGAACCTGTCAAGGATTTGATGACTACGTGGACGAAGCAACAAGGTTATCCTGTTATCAGCGTGAAGCTTAAAGGGCACGACTTGGAACTTGAACAGGTAATAAATTATCGAAAAGAGTAGCGTCATTCCAATGTACTGCACATTCATCTACTTCTGAACCACCTATATGTAAATTCATTATGCATATGGTTTGCTTTTCCTTTCTATTTTGCCGAGGTATGATTAGTGAGGTACAATTCCTAAATTAAAATCCTGTATGAAATGTTTATGACAAATATTACATAAAAAAATTATGACAGAACTTCATCTTAGTTTAATTTTTGTGCCTGCTATTTATGAAGATGTAATTGGCTGACTAGAATTTACGTTGCCCTTTCAGTGCAAGACAAGTTCCACAAGTAGTTCCCATAATATCAAAATTTCAACGGCACACGGGTCAAATTCTGTTTTGACGCATTTCTGACGCTCTCTCTCTCTCTCTTTTTTGTCACAGGACCAATTTTTGTTAAATGGAACCTCTGGTGCTGGCATCTGGATTGTCCCTATAACTTTAGGATGCTGTTCACATGATAAACAGAAAAGATTATTGTTGAAACATAAACATGATAACATAAAGGCCATTGTTTCGCAATGTGATAGCCGACAGAAGGGTGGAAACTTTTGGATTAAGTTGAACATTGATGAAACAGGATTTTATAGGGTTAAATATGATGATGAGCTTACAGCTGCACTTCGAAATGCATTGCAGGCCAAGAAGCTCTCTCTAATGGACGAAATTGGTAAACACAACCTGTGGCACTATTAAATTTCTATTGCAATGTTTTTTTTCCTGGGCGCTATTGCAGCGATTAAAGGTGTTATAACACTATATTACAGGCATTGTGGACGATGCACATGCCCTTTCTATTGCCTGCAAGCAAACATTGTCATCGTTGCTCCACTTGCTGTATGCGTTCCGTGACGAGGCTGATTACAGTGTTCTTTCACACATAAATTCTGTATGTGTATTTTATGTTGAATTAAATTCCAGGATATTCAGTTATTCGTTGGCAATGATTTGTATATATCTTTTACTTTGGCTTGTCAGGTAACTTCAAGTGTTGCGAAAATATCAATTGATGCTACTCCTGACCTGGCTGGTGACATCAAGCAACTTTTTATCAAGCTTCTTCTCCCGCCTGCTAAGTATGTTTACCATGTTTGCTGCTTTTTAGTTCTCAATATATTATTTCCCATTGTATGTTCATACTATGTGTATGTTTGTTAAACATGCCTTCCTTTGTGGCCATGCATACACGATGACATAAATTTTATTTGCAGAAAATTAGGTTGGGACCCTAAAGATGGTGAAAGCCACCTGAATGCAATGCTCAGACCAATGCTTTTGGTTGCCCTTGTTCAGCTTGGGCATGATAAGACTATAAATGAGGGATTCAGGCGTTTCCAAATCTTCTTTGATGATCGCAACACTTCCCTTCTTACTCCAGATACTAGAAAGGTCCTTCTTTTACCCCTACTTTACATGGTCCTCTTTCTTTTTTGACTCATCTGTATCTTTTTTTACAAAAATGAATTGATATCTGTATATCTTCTATTTGAAGACGAATTCATCTCTGTATATTTTGCATTTTTTTTTCAGGCTGCATACCTCTCTGTGATGCATAATGTTAGTAGCACAAACAGATCTGGTTATGATGCTCTTCTAAAGGTCTACAGGAAATCAGCTGAAGGGGAGGAAAAGTTACGTGTCTTAGGTTGATATCTTCTCAGCCATCTTGTGTTAACAATGCTTGCTGATATTTTGGGTTATCCAGACTTCCTGAGGGCTCTGTCTCCTTATCTGTAGGCACACTTTCTTCTTGCCAGGATAAGGATATTGTTCTTGAATCATTGAATTTAATTTTCACAGATGAGGTAAATTGCTAAATGGTTTTTTTCTTCCATGACTCCATTGGAAGGACCTGATTGAACTTATACTTTTACATTAGCTACCTGTAAGTTATATACAGGTCTCATTTGTTTCTCTTGCTTATAGGTTCGCAATCAAGATGCATATCGTGTGCTTGGAGGTGTCATAATAGAGGCACGTGAAACTGCATGGTCCTGGTTGAAGGTACAAAAAGTCCAGTTACCTCTATGCGTTACCGCAACATAAAATTTGTGATATCTGGACCTTTGAAGCATGTGATTCTCCTAGGATCTTTAAATATAATGAAATATCCACTTATTGGATGTTTTTTCTGCCCTAGAAAGCATCAAAATTATGCAAATTTTCTACATTCAAAATTATAAGTAAATAGCTAAATTTCGTGCTTTCTTCAAGTAGCATTTCCTTCAAGTAATCGAATTGTGTAGATACGTCAAATGGGGGTTATATTTGTAAGAGAAAAGGACAATTATAGTTTCCTTAGCTACTTTGCTGGACTATTTTACACTATATTATTTTCATGTTACCTTACCCATTGAATCCTTCTTTTAAAGTCACTTCACTCCCTGATGATATTGTCTTTTTTTGCCTCCTTGTACAAGTCATGTTTTACAAAGAAATTTTGTAGGATGGTAGATTACCGCATATGCTATATTACTAATTATTCTCGAAAATTTCCATGACTTTTGAAAATCAGTCTTTATTGCTATGAACCTATGCAAGTAGCCTCTCCGAAGAACACTTTGAATGATAAATCAAATGGGTTACCCTTGTTTGAGAATTAGTAACTTCCACTCTTGTTTATCTTGCTTCTATCCATTTCCTTACAAAATACCCCCTTCGTCCCCAAATATAAGAGATTCACACATTCAAAATTTGTCCTCGCAAACAAGGTGTCATAGAGTCCTGCTAATCCCTCCAACCACCCGTGATTCAAATTTCTCCCCATATTGCCCCAACCACCCTCCCACTCCCTACACACCCCTCATTATTTAATGATGGGCTCATAGTATTTTTCCTCTATCCTTAATTTCTCCGAAACAACCTAGACTCCCTTATATTTGGGGACGGAGGGAGTATTAAACATGCAATGAAGTAATAGAAAATGTTGAGCTTACAAATGTTGTTTCGTTCGGATGCAGGAAAACTGGGATCGTATCTCGGAGGCATTTTCAGGAAGTTCCCTCATATCGGATTTCATAAGATCTATTGTTACACTGGTATTACTCATCTGCATTCTCTGTTCAATTCCGCACGAGTTATCTCTCATCATGCCATTTGCTGAAACATGCTGCTTCTTTGTTTGCCGGTAGTTCACCTCGAAAGAGAAGGAAGCAGAGATCTCCCAGTTCTTCGCGACCCGCACTAAGCCCGGGTACGAGAGGACACTGAAGCAGAGCCTCGAGAGGGTGCTGATCAACGCCAGGTGGATCGAAGGCATCAGGGGTGAAGCTAAGCTTGCTCAGACTGTCCATGAGCTTCTTCACAAACCCTGATCTGTATCCGGTGTGATCCCTCCCCCCCGGGAGCTGCATTCCCTGCTATGAAGTGCCAACTTTAGGCGAAGCATTTGTCGTAGCAGCAGCATCCCAGCACATTGTTGCTCTCTGTTTATAAGTCATGAAGCATAGGCTGCATACGAGGCAAAGGGATATATAGTGCTTACCGTTTCTCTTCATAGGTTGTGTACAGCTTGTGCCCAGGAGCCATGCATATGATTCAAGAGTTGTCGCACAATTCTACTGTAGCTTTGAAGTGTCCGAGTGAATAAGATTTTACCTTTCAGCATTCTGTATCAGACCGAGCTCAACTATTTGTCGGGCGATTGTTCTCCTTGGCCATGATAACTTAGGCTGTGTTCTTCTCCCCCATTTTCCCAACCCACCTCTCGTTTTCCGCGCGCACGTTTTTCAAACTGCTAAACGGTGTGATTTATGTAAAAACTTTCTATATGAAAGTTGTTTAAAAAAACCATATTAATCTATTTTTTTTAAAAAAATACTTAATACTTAATTAATCATGCAATAAAACGAACTTCGTTTTGCGTACCGAACACGGCCTAAGTCAGATTTGCATGAACTAGCGGACTGATCACAAAGCGGTTAGTACCTCCAGGAAAAAAAATCGTGATAATTTAAGAGAGCTCTCCCCTTTCCCCTGTTTTTTTTTTCATTTCATTCTTAAAATAACCAAGCACGGTAAAAACGTACTCCATCCGTTTCACAATGTAAGTCATTCTAGCATTTTCCACATTCATATTGATGTATGTCTAGATTCATTAACATCAATATGAATGTGGAAAATGCTAGAATGACTTACATTGTGAAACGGATGGAGTATCTTGTTTGTCACTTTATCATGCTATAAACAGAAAACAAGAAACCATTACAAGCAGTCTTAATTCTTAAACCCTCAATCTCCAAAATGGAACTGAAAACCTCCTGTTTAAATAATGAAACCGAGCAGAAAGATGAATATTCCTTGCTCATTAGTCATTATTAAAAGGGCACCTACTCCTCAATTTCTATTCTTTGTTATCCATATAAAACTTATCTGTAACAAACCCGAGAACGACAAGGGCTGATGCATCGTCACGTACACAAATTGGGCTCTACAAATTTCTTGGCTCCGTCACCGTGTCCGTATCATTAGAAATCTTACATAAATACTCGCTCCATTTTAAAAATATATTACATCATTGATTTTTTTATAACATATGATTGTTCATCTTACTAAAAGAATTATATAAATATTATTTATTTTGTTGTGACTTGTTTTATCATAAAATAAAATATAATCTTAACTTATACTTGTACATATTTATAATAAATTTTTGAATAACACGAATGATACGAAAAGTCAACGATGTACGAGGGAGGTCCTAGTATGTGTGTGTATCATTCTTTTAAAAAAAAACTCACTCATGTCTGAGAGACGCTCAATGATTATGATCATCCGGATATATGATCGAACCTTCCGATTACTGCTTGTTTAGGATATCATCATGGACTCGTCGGATCAAACCTCCCCTGAACAAATTCGGCCGGCCGGCGGCTAATGCCGGTCAAAAAATTATTATTTCTTCTTACCACTATTCGACTCGCCGCCGGCAATCACCGTCATTTTTTTTTGGTTCTTGCGACGTCAGCCATTAGCTACTTGGGCCTTCGCAAGTTCATACCGATCCAGATATATGGCTGCGTTTAGTTCCCTTCGAACTTCCAAAAATTCCACCACATCAAATATTTTGACATATATATGAAGCATTAACTGTGGACGAAAAAAAATTAATTACTCAGTTTGCATGTAAATTGCGAGACGAATCTTTTGAGCCTAATTACGTCATGATTTGACAATATGGTGCTACAGTAAACATTTGCTAATGACAGATTAATTAGGCTTAATAGATTCATCTCACAGTTTATTTTGTTATTAGTCTACGTTTAATATTTCAAATGTGTGTACGTATATTTAATTTTTATTTTTGAAAAGTAACTAAACAAGGCTATAAATAAACCCACCCCTCGCGGCTTCGCTTTTAATTTGCTCGGGTTCTTTTCGCGGCTAAATAATTTGTTCAAACCTTTTCGATCACGCGCGCGCGAATCTCAAAGCGGCGGAGGCGGAGGCGGTGATGGCGGCGGCGGCGGCGGAGTTCCGCGGGCAGGCGCGGCTGCCGCGGTTCGCGGCGCCGCGGCGGTACGAGCTCCGGCTCCGGCCGGACCTCGCCGCCTGCGTGTTCTCCGGCGAGGCGTCCGTGGCCGTCGACGTCTCCGCGCCCACCCGCTTCCTCGTCCTCAACGCCGCCGACCTCGCCGTCGACCGCGCCTCCATCCGCTTCCAGGTAAGTAGACCGACCTGACCTTCTCCTCCTCCTCCTCGCTCGCCGTCGATCGATCGATCTCGCCGTGGTTGGTTGCAGGGCTTGGCGCCGGCGGAGGTGTCGGTGTTCGAGGAGGACGAGATCCTGGTGCTGGAGTTCGCCGGGGAGCTGCCGCTCGGCGAGGGCGTGCTCGCCATGAGGTTCAACGGCACGCTCAACGATCAGATGAGGGGATTCTACAGAAGGTAAACTTTGCATTTGAAAAAAAATTCGTGGTGATCGTAGCCTCGCAGAGGCTAAATTTGCGCTTTAATCTCTTGGGAATTCTATATTTTCAAAGATAAATTGGTCTAAACCCCTCAAGGAGATGTGCCCTCGTTTGTTCAAACTTCATCCAAATAGTTGTTATAAATTCTAAATTTGTTTTGACAATGTTCATACCTTATATATGAACTAATCAAGTCAAAACTAAGTTCACATAGTACTAGCCAAATACCTGTGCTTTGCCACGAATCAAAACAAACCAATAGTGAGGTTTTTGGGACAATTTTGTACCTATAGATGATATATTGTACAGATGAATTATGATAGAATCATATATTTAGAGGGATTATCTTATAACATTAAAATACATGGTTGGTACAAAACATGATGACGTAGGTAGTAAATAAAAAAAATACTATACTTGGTAAGGTGGTTGCCTTTTTTGAGTATAAATTGCTACTATTCGTATGTGACTTGTTTTTTTCGTTTCTCAACGTGTAGATCGAATTTGAATATGATTTTTGGCGGAGTATTAGATGTTACTCTATATTTGCTAATTTGTTTTGCAAATTTTCACAACCACTTGCATTGAATTTGAGAGAAAAAAGTTATGTTAGGGGACATCCCCTCGAGAACTCATGATCATCGTTACAAATTTGAACTGATCATCAGTTGATTGATGTGGTTGGGAAGTTCTTATGAACCTGTGGACTAGGATTTACCCTCTCCAGCAATGAATAGTTGTCGCTGGATATTATTCGCATCCAAAGTTTGACCGCTCACATTTTAGCAACAAATTTATAAATATTTTCGAAATATACTATATTATGAAAGCTCGATGCATGCTAAATAAGTTCATACCCTTTTTTCATCAAAACATTGAAATTTAAAAATTAAATTATTATGGTCAAAGTTGAAACAGCAGCGGTCAACAGTGACACTTAAATGGAAACGGAGAGAGTATTTTGATGATTTCTGGGTACGACTCATGTGACCTTTTCATATGAGAAACTGCCATTTTATTGCAGTAAATATGAATACAAGGGGGAGACAAAAAACATGGCAGTGACACAGTTTGAGTCCGTGGATGCTCGACGGTGCTTCCCTTGCTGGGATGAGCCTTCTTTCAAGGTTAATTAATTATTACGGTAGCAAAACCTGTTCACCAATCAGAATTTTCTCATCCAGAGGTTTGATGCACTATGTGTTAGAACATCGCCGGATCTATCTCTCTAATGTTTCCCCTCTTCATATTTAAAATTTCAGGCGAAGTTCAAGTTAACACTTGAAGTTCCATCTGAGCTGGTAGCTTTGTCGAACATGCCTATAGTTAATGAGAAAATTGCTGGTCCTATCAAGACTGTCGAGTATGAGGAATCACCCGTTATGTCAACTTATTTAGTGGCAATAGTTGTTGGTTTGTTTGATTATATAGAAGGTGTAACATCGGAAGGTACGTACCAGTAATCCAGCATACTTCATAGTTTCTCACATTGAAGTAGTTCTGTAGGTGCCATTCTTTTCCTTTTACTTTCCATTGTTTTTTTTATTGTTTTTAATTGTATTCAGGCAACAAAGTTCGTGTGTACACTCAAGTTGGTAAGAGTAATCAAGGGAAGTTTGCATTAGATGTTGGAGTGAAGTCATTGAATCTCTATAAAGAGTATGCGCGCGACCTATCATTTCTTCTAAATTGGTTTCTAAAGAAAAAAAATGATTCATGTTAATATATATCCTATTTACCCAAGGTTGTTGCTTGAAAGAGTCATTGACCAAAATTTCATTCTTTGAATGCTGTAGATTCTTTGATACCCCTTATCCACTACCTAAGTTGGATATGGTTGCTATCCCCGATTTTACAAATGGAGCCATGGAGAACTATGGATTGGTCACTTACCGGGAAATATATTTGCTTTTTGATGAGCAGTCTTCATCAGCATCCACCAAACAGAATGTATATATCATAACACTGAGAATATTCAGCTACATGTTTTTTTTTCATTATTTACAGTTCAGTTCTTAAACAGTGATGCATTACTTATAGTTCAGTTCTTAAACAGTTCTCAAACATAATGTATATATCATAACACTGAGAATATATTGTCACTATGATCCACCAATTCTATAAAGAAATTTACATTACAGTTTTTAAGAATGATTTCATATTGAGATATTTTCCTTGGGTGATCAAGTAGTTTATATGTAAATCTCTGTCCACATCTGTTCTGTTTAGGTAGCAATTACTGTCGCGCATGAATTGGCTCATCAATGGTTCGGCAATCTTGTAACCATGGAATGGTGGACTCACTTGTGGCTAAACGAGGGTTTTGCTACATGGGTAATCAATTATACAACACTGATTTTTAGAAATTTGATATCAAAATACTACCAACTGAGTGCTTGGACCTTTTGTTTGAACAGATGAGCTATTTGGCAGTAGATTCCTTTTTCCCTGAGTGGAATATCTGGACCCAATTTCTTGACAGTACCACCTCTGCTCTAAAATTGGACTCTCTAGCTGAGTCTCATCCTATTGAGGTAATAACTGTTTGATACATGCCATGGTCTAGTGCAGTCGTTCAAAAAATTGATGCATTTCATACGGTGTTCACCATTTTTTTTTTCTAAAACCATAAATACTACGCACTTTATCCTGTATAAAACAGAGAGCGTATTTTGAACTGCAAATTTGACGATGGTAAGTAACGGTGATGCATAATTTTGGTTACATTCTTATCACATCCGTTGGTTGATTCCTCACTGAATCTGGACAATGAATACGCGATATTTAAATTGATGATTTAATCTTTTTAGTCTCAAATGTTAATTTGGATGTCAAATTCACACGATGCACCACACCAGCACAATTACAAAGCATCAGCTGGTGGCATCAAACATTTTCACTTGTCTAAATGCTGGTTAGCGATTTTCCTCACTATGTGTTACTGTTTTCTACAGGTCGAAATACACCATGCCAGTGAGATAGACTCGATTTTTGATTCCATAAGCTATGACAAGGGTGCTTCTGTTATTCGTATGCTGCAAAGTTACCTTGGTGCAGAGCGTTTTCAGGTTTTATACTTGTCATTCTTTTATTCACTCTGGGTATCATTTGCATAACTTTACGGCTTATTCGAAGTTAGAAGTGTGTGAAATTACCTCGAACCATTTCCTTCCTTCCTTGCTGTTGGAGGGAGAAATGACACTTCATTTTATTCCCCTATTTAGTTATTTTATGAACAAACAGTTGTGTCTCTTGACTTGCTACTCTTCCACTCTATCGCAATCTCCCATGGCTTCACTAGCGCAATCAACCAGCTCCTTTACCCGTACATCCCCATCTCATCCTTGACTAAAACTACACTACACGTTGTCATGTCCCTAATCTCCTTGGTATGCGCTGTTACCATGATCCTGGGCCCATGACTGCCCTATGTGGAGATAAGATGGGAATTTCCTGAAAAACTGAGTAGAAGTGCATTGGGAGAAGCAAAGAAGGGGGAAAAGTTGGGAATGATAACAATAAGAGAGGTAGTTTCATGAGGGTAAATAAAGGACACACTCAACTTCTATGAGCAAATACATTATTATCCCTTTGAGTGTAAGGTGTCAATATCCTTGGGCCCTATTAATTGGTAGAGTACTTTTACAATGTTCTCTAATGGTTGTAGTCTACTACAAGTGTTATCATCTTAGAAATAATCTTAACTGTTGACATTTATGAGTTCTACTACCAGTAGAAAAAAATATTCTACTACCATTAGTTGATGTGGTAGTATAAATGGATATGATCCATTGAATTAGAAAAAAAAATAAATGGTCCAGATTAGTTCTATTACTAGTAGAGAGCATTGTTAAAACACCTCAATTTGTATCCAATTTTCAGCATAATGATCTTTTTTAGTAGTCATGATCAAACATCACAACATAAACCACCACGTACAAGTGAGAGAGAATGGAGGGATAAATTTTTACCACATCGTAAACCTAGCAAATCGCACACTCAATAATTAAAGGTTCAATTAGCTAGTTACATACTTATTTAAGGCCAACTCTTGCCTCTTTTGTCCACTACTCTACTTTTCTTCAACTAATGTATGGCTCCGTCATCTTGTACTAAACTTGTGGAACTGTTGCTCTTTCAGAAAGCATTAGCTTCATATATAAAAAAATATGCCTACTCGAATGCTAAAACCGAGGACCTGTGGGCTGTTCTTGAAGAGGTATCTGGTGAACCTGTTAAGAATTTGATGACTACATGGACGAAGAAACAAGGTTATCCTGTTATTGGTGTGAAGCTTAAAGGGCATGACGTGGAACTTGAACAGGTAATGAATTATCGAAAAGAATATGATCATTCAATGGATTACATTCATTTACATGCAAACCACCCAATACGTAAATTCATTATGCACATATAGTTTGCTCTGCCTTTATATTTTTGTTAGTGTGGTTAGGTAGTCAGAATTCCATACTTAAAATCCTCTGCTTATTATTTATGACAAAACCCCATGTTGAAAATTTTTGACAACTTTATCTGGGTTTAATATTTGTTACCTGCTAGTTAAGAAGATATAATAAGCTGGTTGGAAAATTTTCCTAGTCCTCAAAGAGGGCATGCTGCACAAGATCCGCAATGTAGCAGTTCTTATAATCTTATCTGAAGTTTTGGGAATTTTTCTCTAGAAGCTTCACTACTTTTTTCATTTCTCTAACTCTGCTATATACATGTACATATGAGTAGTATATGGGCCTCATGGGCCAACACATACATAACTCAACACTCCCCCTCAAGATGGGCGATAGATATCTATCATGCCCATCTTGTTACACGATGAAGTACACTCCCCAACACTTAAAGCTTTTGTTAAACAGTCAGCTACTTGTTCCCCCGACATAACAAAACCTAGCTTCAAAATCCCTTCATCTAGTTTTTCCTTGATAAAAAAACGATCTATCTCCACATGTTTTGTTCGATCATGCTGAACTGGATTGTTAGCGATGCTAATAGCCGACTTATTGTCACACCACAACTTCATGGGAATATTCATTAGCAACTTTAACTCAGAAAGAAGATTTCTCAACCATAACAGCTCACTTAAACTCACTGACATTGCCCTGTATTCTGCCTCAGCAGTTGAGCGAGACACTACCGGTTGTTTCTTGCTCCTCCAAGAGACCAAATTGCCACCAACAAATACGCAGTAACCAGAGGTTGACCTCCTATCATCAAGGCTGCTAGCCCAGTCCGCATCACAGTAGCCCTCCACACCTAGATGTCCATTTTTCTTGAACCATAAGCCTTTTCCTGGGCTCCCTTTTAAATATCTCAGGATTCTATATACTGCGTCCATGTGACCACTTCGAGGGTCATGCATGTATCGACTAACAACAGTCACAGCATAAGTTATGTCAGGTCTGGTATGACACAAATATATCAGTCGTCCCACAAGTCTTTGATATCTTTCTTTATTCACTGGATCTCCTAATTCAGCACATAACTTATGATTTTGCTCAATTGGTGTAGAGGCAGGTCGGCAACCGAGCATACCTGTGTCACAAAGTAGATCCAATACATACTTTCGTTGTGAAAGAACTATCCCTCTAGGAGATCTTGCAATCTCAATGCCCAAAAAATATTTGAGCTGACCAAGATCTTTGACTTCAAATTCTTTGCTTATATTCTCTTTTAACTGAGCTATTTCTTGAGTGTCATCTCCTGTAATAATTATGTCATCCACATATACAGCCAGGATGGCAATCTTCTTTCCACGGTGACGATAAAACAATGTATGGTCTCCATTGCACTGTTTGTAGCCCATGCCACACATTGCACGTCTAAATCTATCAAACCAAGCCCTTGGTGACTGCTTAAGGCCATACAAGGATTTCTTCAATCTCAATACCTTTCCTTTAGTTTGAGAGGTGGAAAAACCCGGTGGAATCTCCATATAAACTTCCTCTTGAAGATCTCCATGCAAAAATGCATTCTTAACATCTAGTTGGTATAGTGGCCAATCAAAGTTAGCTGCACATGATATCAAGGTTCTCACTGTGCTCATCTTTGCAACAGGTGCAAAGGTTTCATCATAATCGATTCCATATGTTTGACTGTACCCTTTTGCCACAAGCCTTGCCTTGTACCTTTCTACTTTCCCAAGTGGATCTTGTTTTACAGCATACACCCACTTGCAACTAACCACCTTCTTACCTGTTGGAAAAGGTACAAGCTCCCAGGTCTTGTTCTTCTCAAGTGCTGACATCTCCTCCATCATTGCCTCATGCCACTTTGGATCATTCTTCGCTTCTCTCCAATCCTTTGGGATCACTATGGATTGTAATGATGCAATAAAAGCCCTATAGGCAGGAGATAAAGATGAATATGACACATAATTAGCTATGTCATTCCCATTTTCCTCCTCAACCTCCTCAAAGCCATATCTTATAGGGGGCTTTCCTGCCGTGCTTCTTATCCCTTTCCTATTAGCAATAGGCAAGTTAGATTCCTCTCCTGATATTTCACTCTCCTCTCCCCCTGTCTCGGTATTCTCTTGTATAGGATCTGACTGATAAGAAGATTGATCATTTATTTCATCAATGACTAGAGGTTGTTGATGTTGTTCCACCATCTCATTCCTATCAATTGTTAGAGGTTGTTGTTCTACCTGTTGTGTCTCCAAGGACCTTGGCTTTCTCCTTGTGTAAACCTGTAGATTTTCTTCTTCATGTGGTTTCCTCCAATTCTGCTCATGTGGGAGTTTGCCCATAGGGCATGGGATTGACCCAATAACAACCTTCGTCCTCTTTGATTCATCCCCTTCTTCCATTCCTAGTGATTCATTCACCCCTTCATACCTAACTTCACTCATGATTGGATTGTCAAGATCAGAAAACAAATAACTCAAATCTGTCATTTCTCCATAGAAAGGAATAGACTCTCTAAAGGTGACATCCATACTTACAAATGTTTGCCTCTCAGATGGACTCCAACATTTGTATCCTTTCTGACCAGATGAGTAACCTATAAATATGCACTTGATAGCTCTGGGATCCAATTTTCCCACAGAAGGTCTATGATCTCGAACAAAGCATACGCATCCAAACACCTTTGGTGGAACAATAAATTCATTACATCCAAATACCATCTCATATGGAGCCTTCATCCCAAGTATTCTTGATGGTGTACGATTGATAAGATATGTAGCTGTCATGACCGCCTCACTCCAGAGGAACTTTGGTACATTCATAGTATACATGAGTGAACGTGCCACCTCCAAGATATGGCGATTCTTTCTCTCAGCCACCCCATTCTGCGGTGGTGTGTCAGGACAAGAAGTTTGATGTAGTATCCCTTCTATCGAAAGAAAACTACCAAATTCGTTGTTCACATACTCTTTCCCATTATCAGTTCTGATAATTTTGACACATGTGTTGAATTGGTTTCTAACAAATGCGTAGAAGTCCTTGAAGCATTTTAGTACTTTATTTTTATGTTTCATAAGATATATCCAGGTCATTCGGGAGTAACAATCAATAAAAGTCACAAAGTACTTCATTCCACTCACCGAGACAATAGGGGAAGTCCACACATCAGAGTGGATTAACATAAAGGGTGATATGCTCCGAAGTCCTCTGCTTATATATGTAGCTCTTGTATGCTTTCCATATTCACATGCATCACATACTAGTTTGCTTCTGTCCACCTTACTCATCTCATCAGGATATATCTTCCTCATAGTTTCAAAACACATATGGCCCAATCGACAATGCTGGAGAATCAATCTAGCTTCCTCTTCACTTGTACCAACTGCCAATGCACTACATAGTGCTTTATTTGTTCCGCTTCTATCTAAGTACCACAATCCGTTCTGCCTAATGCCAATCCCAAGCTTCCTTCCTGTTCTTCTCTCTTCTATTAGGCAATTTTCTCGATCAAGAGTAACCCGACAATCCATATGGTCAACCAAAGAACTTATTGATACCAAATTAACTGGAAAGGAGGGAGCATATAACACTGATGATAATGTAATGGATGGAGTGCACTGTACTCTTCCCACACCTTTGATAGGCTGTGAAGTACCATCGGCAGTCTGAACAGTTTCTTTATATGTGGGTGGATATGGAGTAAATGACACAAACTCACTTGGCATACCTGTTACATGTCTAGATGCTCCAGAGTCTAATATCCAGGTTGAGTGAGGTACCTGCATCTGCATGGGATGCGCGAGGTTGACAAGGTTGCCAAGAACTGTTGTTTTCTCCCTCTCCTTCCGTATTCTTTCCCTTATTTCTTGTATTTCTACAGCCATTTTCGCAAGCAGTTGTTCAATTCCTTGACTTCCCTCCATTCCTTTTTTTTTTTTTTTTTTTTACAAACTCACTCTATTCTAACACCTTGAAGACAACGTCCCCTGGTTTTCTTTCCTCCTGATCAGGGAACTCGACACAGCAGCACCCCTCTCCCTCTCTGTGACTGCCGAGGCTTGGACTGTGTTCTCGCATACACGAATTTTGGTTGGTTGCCTGCCAATCTGAAGCACTAACTTCACATTCACCTTGCACAACCTGTTGCCTTACTTCTTGACAATAATTAATTTCCAACACCAAAGCCGCTTCTTCCCTTCTAGATGAAGCTAGCTACAGCTTTCCTCACCTGCTATTGCTCTCTGCACCTGTAATCTTCAGCACACACGACACCACCAACAGATCCAGCAGCAATACTCCCTTCTTTTTCTTCCTTTCTCAACCACACACAGCAGTACAATACTCACAAGCTCACCTCCTTGCCGCAGCACACACAAGCCACACCAATAGCACAACCGGCAAACAATTCCTCTGCTCGCTCAACAGCAACAGCAACAACACACTTACCAAATTTGTGTTCCCCTTTTCCTTTCAGCAGCAACAGCACACTACCAAATCCTCAGCTCGATCTTCTCTGCCTCAGCAACAGAACAGCAATAGCAGCTCACCAAATCCTCACACCAGCACCAGCAGTGCCGTCCTCACAACCAGCAGCTCCCTCCGCGCGCGGCCGCCGTTGGCTCTGCCTGCCGCCGTTGACGCCGCTGCGTCCTCGCCGGGAGCTCCAGCACCAGCGTTTCCTTCCTCACCTGGAGCTCCACACGCTCCTGCGCCGCGTACACGCGCAGCTCTGCCAGCGCAGCTCCCTCAGCACCTCTCTGCACGCCTCGACAAGCTCCGGCGAGGCTAGGGTTTAGCCGTCGCCCGTCGCCAGCCACCAGCCGATTGGCTCTGATACCATGAAGTTTTGGGAATTTTTCTCTAGAAGCTTCACTACTTTTTTCATTTCTCTAACTCTGCTATATACATGTACATATGAGTAGTATATGGGCCTCATGGGCCAACACATACATAACTCAACATTATCCATACATGCAAAATTCAGCAACAAAATGATAAATTTTGCTATGATGAATTGCTGACCCTTTTTTTTTTGTTGCAGGACCAGTTTTTATTAGATGGATCCTCTGATTCTGGCATGTGGATTGTCCCTATTACTTTAGGATGCAATTCACATGATATGCAGAAAAGATTCTTACTGAAACATAAATTCAGCGACATAAAGGGCATCAATTCACAGTACGATGACCAAGACCGACAGAATAGTGGAAACTTCTGGATTAAGCTGAATATTGATGAAACAGGATTTTATAGAGTCAAATATGATGATGAACTTACAACTGCACTTCGAAATGCATTGCAGATGAAGAAGCTCTCCCTAATGGACAAAATCGGTAGACACAAACACAACATGGCACAATTAGTCTCGATTACAATTTACAGTGATTTGGTAACTGGTATTATAACACTATTATTACAGGCATCGTGGAAGATGCACATGCTCTTTCTATTGCTGGCAAGCAAACATTGTCGTCGTTACTACATTTACTGTATGCTTGCCGTGACGAGGATGATTTCAGTGTTCTTTCACACATAAATTCTGTATGTGTATTTCATGACCAATTGATTATTCCACGATGTCCGGTTATTCTTTGGCGCTTATTTGTCTACATATTTTATTTTGGCTTGTCAGGTAACTTCTAGTGTAGCTAAAATATCAATTGATGCTACTCCTGAATTGGCTGGTGAAATCAAACAACTTTTTATCAAGCTTCTTCTCCCTACTGCTGAGTATTTTCCTGCCCTTTAACTCTCAATATATTATTTCCCAAGATACATTCCTTTTGTATGGGTATGTTTGTTTAGATATGCTTCTTGTATGGCCATGTTTATTTGCAGAAAATTAGGGTGGGACCCTAAGAACAGTGAAAGCCACCTGGATGCAATGCTTAGACCAGTGCTCTTGGTTGGCCTAGTTCAGCTTGGGCATGATAAGACTATAAGTGAGGGAGTTAGGCGTTTCCAAATCTTCTTTGATGATCGCAATACTTCCCTTCCTCCAGATACTAGAAAGGTACTACCTTTTAGCCATATTATTTTACCTGGTCTTCTGCCCTTTTAATAGACTCATCTATCTGTAGTTTTTGCATTGATCAGGCTGCATACCTCTCTGTGATGCATAATGTTAGTAGCACAAACAGATCTGGCTATGATGCTCTTCTAAAGATATATAGGGAATCAACTGAAGTGGAGGAAAGGTTAAATGTATTAGGTTCGTACTTTTCAATCTTCTTAGGTTAACAAAGAATGATATTTTGGGTTTCTTCCCTGAAGGTTTTGTGTCCCTTTTTATAGGCATACTATCTTCTTGCCAGGATAAGGATATTGTTCTTGAATCGTTGAATTTTATTTTCACAGATGAGGTATAAGCTATTGATTGTTTCTTCTTTCATGATTCCATTGGAAGGTCATGGACGAATTTGTAGTTCTATGCTAACTACCTGTAAGTTATATACATATCTCATTTGCTTATCTTGCTTGTCAGGTGCGCAATCAAGATGCATATCTTGTCCTTCGAAGTGTTATTATTGACGCACGTGAAACTGCATGGTCCTGGTTGAAGGTATCAGTGTGTTGCATTATATATTATTGTTGATATTATAAATATTAAAGTTTTAACTATATATATTAAAATCAGATAAAAATAAAAGTCCATGTTAGAAACAACTTTCTAACTATTAATTTCGAATTTCAGAAATAAATAAAAATCGAGAGTCCAAGATAAGTACAGCTTCGTATTTATTAATTCTAAATTCTGGAAAAACTAGAGAGTCCACAATTTTATAAGTGTTCTTATCTAACATGAACTCTCCTATAATCTAGGGTTATGATAATAGGATCCACCTAATCAATGACCGTCTTTTTGGTTAACATAGAAGCTCCCTTGGAGGCTCAGTGCCCAATTTAGTATAGGGGTAGGGATAGATGTGTTATCGCCACATAAAAATTGTGACGTGATTCACTTAAGAATTTTGCATGTTTATTCTTCTATAAATCATCAAATATTATGCATGCTTCTACATTCCAAATTATAGTAAATAGCTAAATTCATTGCGCACTTCAATGCTGAAATAATACTCCATAGATACGTACGCTAAGGTGGTGATTATATTTGTAAAGGAAAAAAAAATACTTCCCTACTATCCGCTGAAGCACTTAATTTTTGTTCTCATCAATTTACCCCCCAACCACACTAGTAGGGAATATCTACTATCTGCTGAAGTGCTTCATTATATTGAATCTCTGTTTGCTCTCTTGTTATACAAGCTAAGTGAAATTGTGTGTGCCCTCCTCTGATCATAATTACTTGATATTTTGGACAAGATCTGGTTAATATTTATGTCAAAATATCGATGTCTTCAGAAGTATTTCATAATCTCGTAAACCTATTGGATTTTAAGAACTTGTTCTGTTACAGAAAATTGTGGCCAAAGTCGTAACTCAAATACCGTGAAAAACTCAAACTTCAAGTACTTTGACCAGAGGGAATATGATAATAGATGATCGCTTACCGTATGTATGAAATACTTTTGAAAAATAAATCATGACTTTTTAAAAGTCAGTCTTAGTTACTATGAAACTATACGCAAGTTGCCTCTTAAAGAAAAACCTTTGAATGAAAAATCGAGTGGGATGCCCTTGTTCAGGAATTAAATTTCACGTTTTGTTAACCTCGTGTTCTTTCTATTTCCTTACAAAGAGCTATTATACTATAAGCCAACAGTGGGATATTCAAAACATTTTGCTTACATGCCCTATTATGTGAATGCAGGAAAACTGGGATCGTATCACGAAGACATTTGCAGCAAGCGCAATCTTATCGGATTATGTCAAATCTATTGTCACATTGGTATCATACATCTGCACTTTTCTATTCCCCAATTCCGTATATGTTATTCTGATCGGGCCATTGCTGATCCTTGTTTCTTGGCAGTTCACCTCTAAAGAGAAGGAAGCAGAGATCTCCCAGTTCTTCGCAACCCGCACTAAGCCCGGGTTTAAGAGGGCACTAAAGCAGAGCCTGGAGAATGTGCGGATCAGCGCAAGGTGGGTTGATGGCATCAGGGGTGAAGCTGAGCTTGCTCAGACTGTGCATGATCTTCTCATCAAACTCTGATTTGATGCCTCCAGAATTTGATGCATTTGCTGTGATGCCAACTTTCGCCAAAGCATACATTGTCATAGCAGCTCATTGTGAGAAAAACATGTAGGAGTATGCCGTCAGCTTGAGTTCAAATAATTCCTCCTGGATGCAAGGTTTTCTTACCATTTATTCTTTATCAATAATGGATGCTAAGTCTTTCCTTAGTATCCCACATGCTTCTTTTTTTTTTTTTGAGAAAATCCCACATGCTTCTTTCAACATAGCAGCTCATTGTTGCCCTGTTTATGAAGTCATAATTCAAGAAGTGTCGTTATGTATTGTCAATCTCTCGTATGTATGTTCAGGCATATGTACAGACATTTATAATTCTTACAAAGTCTTGGACACGCACACGCTTCCGGTGGTGTTATTTTAATGTGATTTGTAGATAAGCATTTTTTATTTAATTACTATTTCCTTTTTAAATATATCGTTAAGTACAACTTCTTTTTGGGCATAAAAAGTTTTATGCTCAAATCAGACTCTATCATATGGATTTTATCATAATCTAAACTAACAAGGATTGTTTCTGTAGTTACCTTTAAGGCTCCTTTGGTTTTAAGGAAACAACATAGGAATTTTATAGGATTCTAATCCTATAAACTTTTTTCTATATAGTCATTTGAAACAAATGATTGGATACTATTGAATCCTATGAAATGTCTTATTCCATGCAAGTTTCAAAAGAAATTTAACATGAGGCCCAACCTCATGGAAAGTTTCTTTTGAGTCTTCATCTCTCCTTAAATCCCTGTGTTTTTTCTTGCCGTCCAATTAAAACGACCATTTTTGTATTTTTGTATGTTTTATAATAATTTGTTTTACACTGTATTCTATTAAAATTATGTGTTTTTCATATAATCATATTGTCTGTTTTCTCAATTTTGTGTTTTAAAGAGGACCTAAAGATTCTATATCAAGAGCTAATCCCTCTCTTTGTATTGTTGACTGAAACAACTGTTAGGTGTAAATCACCTTGAATAGTGGTAGAGCCAAAAGGTTCATACAGCTTGGGTAAGCATAATATGCATGCAGGCTATTCCACTGTTTCTAGTGGACATGAGTGACTACAAGTGATGGACACTCCATTGTTGCACCCACGAGTATCTGCGAGAATCCTATTCAGCCCGACGCGCCAGCTCCATTGTTAGTGTCTGCGCCCACATGCGACTTTTTTTCACGAGCCCACACGCACTTGATTTTTTTTGTGATTTTTTGTAATTTACAATTTGAATTTTTCATTTCAAATTTTAAAATATTCTATTGAAAACTTTCAACTTGATTTTTGAGATGAAAGTTTCTTTAAGTTTTAGTTGAAAGTTTTGAATTTTGAGTTGAAAGTTTTTGAATTTTGAGTCGAATGTTTTAAATTTTGAGATTAAAGCTTCCGAATTTGGGTTGAAAGTTTTCAAATCTTGACTTTATAGTTTTCAAGTCTAAATTGAAAGTTCCAATGTTAAGTTGAAAGTTTACAAATTTGAGTTGAAAACTTTAAATCTTGATTTAAAAGTTTTTAAATCTGAGTTGAAAGTTTTTATCAGTGTTAAAGATAAGGCATAGTTCCTATACATGGATTTATGGAATACGTCAATACCATATACTATACGAGTAGGTATACTTTAATTAAGGAAATACGACAAATAAAGAAGGAAATTATCTTCCTGGAATATAAGGTGTTAAAGTCCTGTTCAGGAAAGATAAAGTAACCTGGGGCTTGTATCCGGTCTTATCTCTTTGAGATCTACTTGCAGAAGAAGATGATCTACGCTATAAATATAAGTCCCCCACCCTCAGTACAAGGAGGGAGGGGCATCGAGTTGCAAGTCGGAAATCCGAGGGAGCCAAAGATAGATCTCGTCGGACCTTTTTCTCAACAGCGTCTAGTCAGGTGAGTCCAATCTTCTTATTCCCTATTGTACCTATTGTACTCTTTTGTGCTATTTTCGTCTATAATTCATATAAACTGGACTAGGGTTATTACTCATCTTGAAGGCTCAAACCGGTATAAATTTGTCTGTTGTATCGTATATACCTTGGTTCTAATGATCCCCATACTCTATAAATACCGTGGTCGGGATATCCACCCTCGACAATTTCAAATCTTTGACTAGAAATTTTTTAAATCAAGTTAAAATTAAAAGTTCTCAACGAGAGAAAAGACAGATCGAATAAGTTCCATAGGTATGTAAGTGACTTTATCTACTAGCGCACGCGCACGTGATAAGTTTCCCCAAGTGTCTGCCATCGTAGGGCCCTAGTTTGAAGTTCGGCCGCTGCAGTTGGATAAAACCACCTCACATAACAAGTGCAAAAAATTCTTATATATATGTGACAAATGAAAACTAGAAGAATCCAAACAAGACGTTAAAGAGAGTTGGCGTGGTGTCACCAACCAAAACTTATCTCCTGAAAAACAGCTCGGTATAATTATTGCTATACTGTGCAAGCACCAGCTGAAAAAAATGATAATTGTTATTCAGTTGATAAATTTTGTTGGTGACACCACGCCAACCACCATCTGACCAACAAAGTAATTCCTATCAATAAGCCACTATATAAAACCAAATCATCACCCCTTTTTTTACAGTGTTGGATTATACTTTGATGCCTCGTATTATTACTATCTAATTTTTTAAACCCATACTCCCTCCGTTAAAAAAAAAAGATAAATCCTGGATATAAATCTTGAAAATACATTATGTCCATATTTATATTCGGGGTTTATCTTTTTTTTTTTGGACGGAGGACGAATTAAGCACTTCCTAAAAGCCATGACTTTCCATCTACGTATCGCATAAATTTACCATTAATATATTAATCATGTTCCGCTTCACTTGATAGCGAATGCGTTGTACCTAGCTGTTTGCCTTCCGTGGCTATAGTGCATCCGCAACTAGCAGTTGTACCACACAGCTAAACATGCCCATTATATGCTCTATAATAATACGCCCAATTACACAACAGCCAATGTTTTCCCTAAATTTATTTCTGACAATAAATTACTATAACTACTGTCTTCCATGACTGTGGCGCATCCGCAGCTAGCAGCTGTATCACCCCGCCAAATATCTATAATAAATAAAGCATCCAATGCCACCATAGCCAATGTTTTGTTTCCAAGTTTATTTAAGATTAAAAATTTCCACAAACATCACAAGGGACTAACTCACAAAAGGGAGAAAACATTCAACTGCCCCACCCATTTCCACTCGAAGGAAAGTAAAAAAAAAAAAAAAAAAAACAAATCCACAAATCCCTCCCAAATATACACGCGGCGACCAGATCAGTCCCTGTAGCCCCCACCGTCCCGAATCCACGGGGGCGGATTCAACATTCGAGACTCGAGCGAGAGGAAGAGCAGAAGAGCCGAAGAGAGAGAGACGGCCTATTTTTAGCAACCCCCACACGCGGCGGCCACACGCCCAGTCCGAGGTCTGCGCGCGGAGCAGCAGAGCACACCCAGCCGACTCATCCGCCCTGCCTACCACATTTCGATCCCCTCACCGTCGCCGCCGCCGCCCGTCTCCGCCGCGGAGGTGAGCTCCTCGTCCCTCCCCCTCTTCGTCGCCGCGGTAGCGCCGTTTCGGATTTTACGGTTTGGGGGTGGGGAATTTTGTTTTGGGGGAGGGGAGGGGGATTGGATTTGTAGTTCCTCGGTTTGGTTTGATTTGGTGAGGCGGGCGGTGTGCGCGTGGTGGTCTGATTCCGATCTGTACTATGTTTGTAGGGTTTGTATTTTTTTTGTGGTGTTGGTGGTGATGGGTGGCGTGGAACCGCCGCCGCCACCGGCTCCGGCGCCGGCGGGGCTGGCGGCGTGGCTGGTGGCGCGTGGGGTGAAGCGGAGGGCGGTCTCCGCCAAGCGCTCCTGGCCCCCCCTCTGCGGCCGCTTCCCCGCCCCGCCGCCGCCGCCGCCGACTGCTCCCGTGGCCGGTGACGATGGAAGTAAGGGCGTCGAGGGCGTTGTCGCCAACCAGGGCGGAGCGGAGGGGGTGGCTGTCTCACCTGACCGTTCCGTGCCGCTATCAGGCGGCCCAACCGCCGCTTCTTCGCTGCCGCCGCCGCCGCCGTCTATCATAGCAGGTAATGTTGGGGATAACAGTGTCGAGGGCAGAGGAGATGTTGGAGATAAGGGTGTCCATGGTGTCACCGAGGGCAATGAGGAGGAGCAGGTTGCCTCGGCTGTGGTTTCCTCGGCCGCATGCATTGGTGCCCTCTCGCACGGCCCGTCTCAGCCGGAGGCAGAGAGGATGGAGGTGGATGAGGGAGAGGGGCGGGAGACCGGAGAGGCGCAGCTACCTAATGATACAGATGCTCGGTTGTCAGATGATCAGGGAATGGGCGAGGTGCTTGATGTGATGCCTTTGGCAGTAGCTGCACCAGTTAGTTGTGGTGCTAATGTCTCTAACGGTTCTGCGGAGAATGTTAGGGATGTGGCCAGTTTGTTGATGGACAGGGAGGGAGGCAAGTGGGGCTGTGAATTCGAGAGAAAGGAAGTTACTAGCGATCGGGATGGCCGAGAGACGGAAAGTAGAGTAGGTGTTGGTCAATTAGAGAGGACAAATGATGTACATGATGGTGGCAGAAAAAAGAGGTGGTTGATGTCAGTTCTGAATCCTCCACCCAAAAGAAGGGCGATCTCAGCCATACGCAAATTTCCACGTGACTGTGGGAGGGCTGCTTCTACTCTTGCGGAAAGTGGTGCCTCTATGGAGGAGTTGCCTTTAGAAGCAACACCTATTAGTGTAGCTACCGGTGGTGCCTCTATGGAGGATTCCTTGGCGAGAACCCCTATTTCAGTCCAGGGTGCTTCTTTGGTGTGCGGTCTAGACCATTCTAGTGAGGCAATAGATGGCAAGACAATTGAAGATGATGAATCTAGCAAGGTAGAAAATAGGATCCAAGAGTTCCAAGTTGCCACAAATGTTGCCCTAGATGATTTTGAAGGAGCCAAGAATGGTAGTACACACCCAAATGATTCTATTGCCAAACCTTCTCCTAGCCATGGTTTTGTTGAGAGGGTGAATGGAAAGGGATCACAACAAGAAAAGAAGCTTGTAGCACGAAGTGCTGGGGATGGCAAGATGGTAAGCAAATATGAAGAGAGATTACAAAAAGGTACTCCCGAGACTCGTATGAGAGATCTTGTCGATGTAAAGGCAAAAAAGAAGATATTAAAGAGTGATAAGATGAATGGGGCATTGCAAAATGACGCTAGATCCTCTGGAGATGGTAAGATGAAAACGAAGGCTTCAAGCACTCAGAGAGGTGTGGTGCGCTCGGATATGAGCTTGAAGCAAGGTGATATTGCTCGTAAGGTTGATGCCACAGGCAAATGCAAGGGCGGCGTGAATAGCCTCATAAAGGAGGCTACATCTGGGAAGCATGCTACGACTAATGGAATTGAAGAAAATGATGATAGAGACCTTGTCAGTGACAGGATAATTGTACAAGCACTAATGGCCCCAGACAAATGCCCGTGGACACGAAGAAGGAAGTCTATTGGTGGTTCCTCCGAGTCTCGTACTCCTAAGCTTAAGAAAAAGTTTGGTAGGCCAAGGAAAGAATTGAAAGATACTACTCCAAGGGAAGAAGTTTCCCCGGAAGTTGCCTCTTGTAAAGCGATCAAGCATGAGGCCATAGAGGACAAGGAGGATTCTTACTTTGAGGATGAAGGCAACTCTAAGGCTTCTTACTCGGATGTTGAAGGCAACTCTAAGGAGCTAGTGCGTGGAGGAAAGGCACTAGTTGTTTGTGGAGGAAAGAAGGAGTTATGTGTTACACTCCCTCCTTCGGCTCCTTTTGGCACAGATCCCCGAAGCAAAATAAGGAATTTACTCATAAAATTCCATGCGGCATGCCGAAAGCTTGTGCAAGTTGAGGAACAACATAAAGGTAATATTGGAAGAATTGACATCGAGGCTGGTAAAGCCCTAAAACAAAACGGTTTTATTAAGCCCGGACCTATTGTTGGCAATGTTGCGGGAGTTGAAGTTGGAGATGAGTTTAATTTTAGAATCGAATTGTCATTTGTTGGACTCCATCGCCCATATCAAGGAGGTATTGACAGTACAAAGGTGAATGGAATCCTCGTTGCTATAAGTATTGTTGCTTCCGGAGGTTATCATGATGAATTGTCTAGCTCCGATGAACTCATATATACGGGTTCTGGAGGAAAGGCCATCGGGAATAAGGCAGCTGGAGATCAAAAGCTTGAGCGTGGTAATCTAGCTTTGAAGAATTCTATTGAAACTAAGACTCCGGTCCGAGTGATTCATGGATTCAAAGGTCATAGTAAAGGTGAAGCTAGCCATTCTAAATCCAAGCAAATCTCAACATATATTTATGATGGGCTGTACATGGTGGTGGATTATTGGAAAGAAGGCCCAGAGGGCTCGATGGTCTACAAGTACAAGTTGCAAAGGATCCCAGGTCAACCCGAGTTAGCATTACACATAATCAAGGCAACGAGGAAGTCCAAAGTTCGCGAAGGTGTTTGTGTGCCTGATATATCTCAAGGAAGGGAGAGGATTCCCATACCTGCGATCAACACAATTGACGATACGCAGCCAACAGCATTTAAGTACACTACGGAAGTCATATATCCACATTCCTATGCAAAAGAACCTCTGAAAGGCTGTGATTGCACGAATGGTTGCTCAGACTCTAATAGATGTGCCTGTGCAGTGAAGAATGGAGGTGAAATCCCTTTCAATTCCAATGGTGCTATTGTTGAGGCAAAACCTCTCGTATATGAGTGTGGCCCATCATGCAGGTATGACGTGCAAAAGCTTAGCAATCCAAAATAATAACAATAACTAAATAGGAGTAACATTTGCATCATATTCTGATAATACCAAAGTAGATTCACAGAACCAGGAAATATTTCTCATTGCTTCTGAAATTTTTACCCTTTCAACAAGGGCTGACATTTGGTTGCAGATTCATTTGTCAGTGAAACACCCTGCAACACACAAGGAACATAAAATTGTTGGTGGCATAGTTTAAAATTTCTCATAAAACCAACCATTTTCACCTTAAGTCTGTAGGTTTTCACACCAGAACTATTCATTTACAGCAGATCATTAGGTTGAAGGGAATAATAAAATATATTCTCAATCAGAGAGCTAGACATATTATCATAACAGCGAAATTGGTTCATTCACCTTAAATTGGTAGGTTTGCATATCAGAACTACTCATTCACATTGCACAATTAGGTTAATTTGAAACTACAAGTTCTGTTCCGATGCTTTGAGCTAACTAATGCTAATATGCATTGTTTGCCTGAAGTTAATTGTTTTTCGCGCCAGAATTATTATTAGATTAAACCCAAATTGTAAATTCTGTTTGAAAGCTGTGAAATACCAAATGCTCAAACCAACATATTGATTACAGAAGCAACCAATTCACGTCAAGTTAATTAGTTTTTACAATAGAATTTATTTGTTTGTATTGGAATATCAAGTTAAACCGGAAGTAGAAGTTCTGTTCTAAAGCAGGGAGCTAATCTAGCTAATCTAATGTTCAAAACTATGTGCAGGTGCCCTCCAACATGCCACAACAGGGTGAGTCAGCATGGTATCAAAATTCCGCTGGAAATATTCAAGACGGGGAACAAAGGTTGGGGTGTAAGATCTCTGAGCTCTATCTCTTCAGGCAGTTTCGTATGTGAGTATGCAGGTGAGGTGCTGCAAGAAAATGGAGATGAACATGTAGAGACTGATGAGTACCTTTTTGATATTGGTCATCACTATCATGATGAAGTTTGGGAGGATCCTAAATTTGAAGGCATTTTGGGTCTAGAATCTTCTACGTCCAAGACAACGGAGGATACTGAAGGCAGTAAAACAACGGAGGATACTGAAGGCAGTACTATCGATGCATCAAAGTGCAGCAATGTTGGAAGATTCATCAACCACAGCTGCTCGCCTAATCTGTATGCTCAAAATGTTCTCTGGGATCATGATGACATGAAGAAACCGCACATCATGTTCTTTGCCACCGAGAACATACCGCCGCTGCAAGAGCTTACTTACGATTACAATTACGGTAAAGTCGAGGATAAGAATGGCAAGGAGAAGGTTAAACCTTGCTTCTGTGGTTCGCCTGATTGCTCTCGCAGGCTGTACTGAGATGCTGTTGGTTGATGATGATGATGGCGACAATGGTGCCCATTTTTCAGTGGAACACTGTTCTGTCGTGCTATTGATACTTTGTTTTACCTCCTTTATTTTTTTACTCGTTCATCTTGCACAGTTGCAGTCATGGGTAGCATGTAATGTTCTCTTCTTTGTCTTTATCTCCTGAATTGAACTCTTACCGCATCTTTTGGAGCACCGACTAAATTGCAATGGAATTGATGTTAGGCCATTCCCATCCCAATGACTAGGATAGTGTCCATAGTATTAAATAAGTTGCGACCTAGGATAAAAAATGATATGGCAAGTGAATAAATGAGGAAAGAGAAGAAAACCATGTCTTGCCACCTAGGATGAAAAATGATATGGCAAGTGAATAAATGAGGAAAGAGAAGGAAAACATATCTTGCATGAGATATGATTTCTACACAACATCGAAGACATTATGTGAGATAAGTAGCACTAAATTTAAGTATGGAATAGTGATGTTTGCATTGGAAGAGTAGTGACTAGTACTAGTTTATTGATTTGGAGTTTATGGAAACTATATTAGTGTTTTGGGTTGGGAATGGTCACAACCCACAAGTTCCTTCACTGCTGGCAAAGAACGGATATAAATTTATTTCGTATTATTCGTCTATTATACAGTACAATGCAGACTACCCCTATGAGCATCTTCGAAGACTGGACCGATTGACGAAGTCACCACGACTGGAAGAGTAGTGACTAGTAAGTTTACGGAAACTATATCTAGTGTTTTGGGTTGGGAATGGTCACAACCCGCGTGACTACCCCTATGAGCATCTCTACCCCTATGAGCATCTTCGAAGACTGGACCGATTGACGAAGTCACCACGACTGGAAGAGTAGTGACTAGTAAGTTTATGGAAACTATATCTAATGTTTTGGGTTGGGAATGGTCACAACCTTCGAAGACTGGACCGATTGACGAAGTCACCACGACTGGAAGAGTAGTGACTAGTAAGTTTATGGAAACTATATCTAATGTTTTGGGTTGGGAATGGTCACAACCCATATCTAATGTTTTGGGTTGGGAATGGTCACAACCCGCAAGTTCCTTCACTGCTGGCAAAGAACGGATGTACTGTGACTACCCCTATGAGCATCTCTTCGCTGTCGATGGGTACGTCGTCTACCACTGAAAGCACAACGCCGTTAAATCCTGGAAAATTCGCTCCCATGGGGAGTCGAAGCCAGGACCTCAGGTACTACTGAGCCTCTTGTAACCACTAGGTTACAGGCCCTTTCGCTCAATCACTATATATTTATTCGTCTGTCATATTCAATCTACAGTTTTTTTTTCATTTGACCAACATTTTCTGTGTTTTGCAATAGGCTAGTCCTGATTTGATAAAAGCAATTTATATATATCTATATTTTTCACAAATGAATGGTACGCCATTTATAACTGACCGGATGAAAAGACAAAAAAAACCAAAAAAAAAAAGAAGTAAACTGTATTCATGGGACATCAACTTGATATACTGTGCAATTTAGTTCACTTACAAAGTGAGCGTGCTAATGCAATAATTAACTTAGCAAATGGATATCTTGCAAGGTGATATGAATGCAATTCACGAATTTACTAAGCGAGTAACGAAGCGAGTAACGTACTGGGTGAATGACTTGCAAGGTGATATGTGAGTGCAATTTAGTTTAAGAACTTACAAAGTGAGCGTGCTAATACAATAACTTAGTTCAAGAACTTACAAAGTGAGCGTGCTAATATAATAACTTAGCATGTGGATGACTTGCAAGGTGGGTACAATTTTGGTATATTGATACAACAACATATTGTGTCAACACACTTGCGCAGATTTATATAAGCATACTTATTTTTTAAAATATAGTCACTAAAAGTCAATTAGATTTTACCATGTAGAAAATTGTGTATTTCTGTTGAGATATGAGAATGTGAAGATAAATTCTAAACCGGTGATGCAAATTGATTCAATTCTTTATAGATTTAATCCAAGATTGTAGGGTAATATTTGCATGATTGTTACGTCGCATTGACAATTTGACATCATGAGAAAACTCATCTAGCACTCGTTAACCAAACAACATGTAACTAGTCAAGTTGTTACACACATTTTCTTGTACTGGAATATACTCACTAACTTATTATACTTAGACATTCAATTTCTAAATTTTTTTAACTAAATTACACCTACATACCAAGTTTTTTTTTACCAGGAGTGTACTTTTTACTTAAAAAAAGAATGTTATAACTTTGGACTCTCAACTACGAAACCTAGCTAACTTTGAAAACCACTCACATTTTATCATGGGTCTTATGTTATTCGATGAACTGGCGTCTACATGGAGTCAACGTGATTGAAGAGTAACGACAGCAAAATACAATGAATAATAAATGTCAATCTTGTTTTTTTTCCTTTGTCTTTTCCCCTAACCCTATATATAATTTATTTAAAATTGCTAACTATGATGCCACATGCTGCCAAGTCATCCAGAGCCATCCAAATTTAGGTCGAAGAAGATATTTTTAGAAGTTCCTTTTATAGTAACAACAATTTTAACTTTTAAGGCCCTTCATTTTTTTTTAGATAATGTTAAGGCCCTTCATTTGAAGGAAAAACATAAAAAAATTGTAGAATTCCAATCTTATATGATTTTTCACATATATGACCGTTTGAAACAAATGATTGAAAATTATAGAATCCTATGAAATTCCTAAGTAATGTTGCTATAGAACCCCTTTGATTCCAAGAAAAGTTGTAGGAATTTTGGAGGATTTCATTTCTAAAGGATTTCCTAGATAGCCCTTTGAATCAAATGAATAGACACAATTAAATCTTAAGAAATTTATGTGGAATGTCTCATGTTATGCAAATTTTTGAGGAGATTTAACATAGGGTAGAAATTCATGAAAAGTTTCCTTTGAATCTTTATCTCTTCTCAAATTCCTATATTTTTTTCGCGGTCTAATCAAACGGTTATTCATATGGTTATCTTGTGTTTTGCAATCATATACTTGCATTCCTGTCAGATCTTGTCTTTTTCCTATTTCTACGCTTCAAAGGAACACGTGGCAAGTTTTGGGTGTTTTTAACATGAGTCCAACCTACTGGAAAGTTTACTTTGAATGTATCTTCGTCATTCAATTCAATTCATACGGGTTTTTCCGCGGTCCATCAAACGTTCATTTATGTATTTTTTCCAATGTTTTACAATTCTCTATTTTATATTTGTATTATTGTCTAAATCTTATATTTTTCTTATTTCTCTGTTTTCTCAATCTAATATTTAGGAAATCACAAGTGGATGTCTTAAGAAAAGAAACTAGCGGCCACTAGTTAGCAATATCAGCAGGCTATATACATGCCATGTCAGATCTTTGGATGAGTTGGAAGATAAAGAAGAGGAGAGAGAATCAGAGTGGGCGACTAAATTAGCGTCGACAGCAGGCGCACAGTACGATGCAGGGTGGACCCCACCTGCATTCTCTCCCAATCAATACATGAAAGAAGGAGATGGTGGGCCCAATATGGTAAATAAAATAAAGTTCATCTCTAGTACATGGCTGTGGATTAGAGCTAATCTATTGTACACGCCGCGAGCGAATCTCGTGCAACCCCATGCTAAGCCTACGTAACTAGCAATAATCCTACTTCTTACTGTTTTTACTGATTCTTAATAGTAAAATAATAATAATAATATACAAATTGATTTGAAAATTCTAAAATATAGGTTGAAAGTTTTTAGTTTGGATTTGAAAGTTTTAAATTTCAACTGAAAGATTTACATGAGTTGAAAGTTTTTAAAATGGTTGAAAGTTTTTAGTTTGGAATAGGATGTTTCAAAATTTGAGTTGAGAGTTTTCACATATAAGTTGAAAGTTTTAAATTTGAAATAGAAAGTTTTAAAATTTATAAGTTGAATGTTTTAATAAACTAGAAAAATGCCCGTGCGCTGCAATGGGTGAATGCTATTTTAATATTATTATTGTTATTGGGTTTAGTTAGGGTAAAATTCACTGTGGGAATTCGCTTGGATTTTGTTTTTAGAAAATCATGAGGTGGAATTAGGAGTCCGTCATCTCAAGTTAGCATGAGAGTTTTTTAAAAGTAATTTCTTATACGACTCCTTTGTATTTTCAAAAGCAAACGTGTTTAAAATCCAACTTTTATACGACTCCTGTATTTCCAAAAGCAAAAGAGCTTAAAATCTAACTTTTATACGACTTTTTTTTATTTCCAAAAGCAAACAAGCTTAAAATATAACTCAAACACGGATATGTACTTCCAAAAGCAATCAATCTTAAAACCTACTTAAACACGGACGACGTACCAAAATACCGGCAAAAACATATTTAATATTTATAATAGTAGAGAAGAGATGAGTTAAAAGTTTCCAAAATTATGATAAAGTGTAAAATTTGAGGGGAAAGTTTTAAATTTTGTGTTAAAATTTTTTAAATTTGAGTTATAAATTTTAAATTAAAAATAGAAACGTACACGTGCGCCAGCAACAAGCTAGCGCATGCGCGAGGTAGCGATCTCGAAGAAACTTGCCGATGACATCATTTCGTTTGCTGTGGGCCCAAGGCGATTGTGAGCCGAAGCCAAAAGCCCAAAAACAACCGTGGGCACAAAAGCCGAGCCCATATAAATATGGAAAAAGTACACCGGAGGTCCCTCATCTTGTCACTGAATTACAAAATCATCCCTCAACCCAAAATCCAGATATATAACATCTCTTAACTTACAAAACCGAGTCACTTTAGGTCTTTAGGTGATTTTGAACCCGGTTTTATCTTACGTGGCAACTGAGTCAGCGTGGGACCCACATGGGTCCCACATGTCAATGACTACTTTCTTTCCCCTCTCTCTACCTCTTTCCTCTCTCTCTTCTTCTCTACCTCTCTTCCTCTCTCTCTTCTTGGCAACCGGCCATGCGGGAGGACTGAGGAGCGCGGCTGACGACGGGCGGGGAGAGGAGCGGAGGTGGAGACGGATGCGGCGGGGCGCCACCGGCGATGGCCTCGCCGTCGCCTCGCTCTCCGCTCTGCTTGACGAGAAGCAACTCCAGCGCTCGCCCAAACCCACCCTCGCCGAGTACGCTGTCCGGCTTGAAGTTCCTCGTCGCCGCCCTGAGCTCTGCGAACATGAAGATTCAGAGGTTGGGGACCTCCAGGATCCTCCCCTCCGGCTCCGGGTAGAGCGCCCCGGCGACGCCGATGACTGCGCCGCCTGCTGCTCCCAGGGGCATATTGTTGCTGCTACTGCTGCTGCTTGGTGATGCTGCTCATGGACGAGCTCGACCTTCCGACGTGATGCCCGGTGGCGCTGCTTATGGAAGCAAACACGTTGTGTAGTGCCATGATGGGACTACGCCTATTTGCTGGAGCGGCTGCTTCTGCTGCGAGGTTTGAAATTTGATTAGAATATGTTGTCAAGAACCAAGGGAGAAGAAATGCCACAAGCATTTGAATACCTTGCCAGCGTCCATGGTGGCCTTATGTTGGTGCCCTCACGGTCGCAGCAGCTTCAGCCTCCTCGGAGCCGAAACAGTCCCCCATGGGATCAGCTGGGAGCGAAGCTCGATCAAATCGAGTTGATTATTGTTCGTTACCTCGCTGCGTACTGAAACTTGGCAAGTAACACGCGAGACGCTAGTTGATTCTTTCTTGTCAATCAGTAGCAGCTCTCGACTCAGCATCCCGCCAATGAGAGCCGCCGCCGCCGGGTTGGGAGCGGTGGAGGGCGCAGCACCCAGGGGGACGCGTGGCCGAGCGCTGGAGTCGCCTCCCGTCAAGCAGAGGGAGAGCGAGGCGACGGCGAGGGCGAGGCCGTCGCCTCGCCCTTGCCGGTGGCACCGCCGCCGCGTCCATCTCCCCCTCCGCTCCTCTCCCCGCCCGTCGTCAGCCGCGCTCCTCAGTCCTTCCGCGCGGCCGGTTGCCAAGAAGAGAGAGGAAGAGAGGTAGAGAGAGAAAAGGAAGTAGTCATTGACACGTGGGTCCCACGTGGGCCCCACGCTGACTCATCTGCCACGTATGACAAAACCGGGGCAAAAACCGCCTAGGGACCTAGAGTGACCAGGTTTTATAAGTTAAGGGATGTTATATATCTGGTTTTTAGGTTGAGGGATGATTTTATAATTTGGTGATAAGATGAGGGACCTCTGGTGTACTTTTTCCTATAAATATTGTGGGTGCAGACCCAAACATTAAAGCCCAAAACTAAAAGATTGACGGCCCAAGAACTAGCCCAGAGAAAAATTATGGCCCAAGGCCCACTTCTCATGGCCGCTCATATCTCCTCGACCATCATCTCCCACCTCTCTCATCGGAGCTCCTCTCCTCGCCTCCAATGGCGCTGCTCTTCCCACCACCACCCCACGCGCTCTCCCCCAAACCCCCCTTCCCCTCCACTCTCCGCTCCACGAGGTCACTGCGTCTCCGCCGCGCCACCGCCGCCGCCGCCGCCGCCGGGGCCGGAGTCTCCTCCTCTTCCCCCTCGACCTCCTCGCCGGAGAAGGCCCCGGCGCTGGACGTCGCCAGCGGGAAGAGGGGTGGTAAGAAGAGGAGGTCCCTGAAGCCGAGCTTCGAGAAGCAGGCCATCCGCCGCTGGTCCGCGAGGGCGCCGTCCCAGCGCGCCTCCTTCCCCTGGCAGCAGCAGCAGCAGCAGCAGCAGCCGGGCGGAGGTGAGGGTGAGGCCGCGGGCGATCAGGAATCCGGTTGGAGTGGGAGCTCCACGCTGCAGTCCATCGTGGATTACTTCGACTTCGACTACGATTCCTCGGATGGTGATGGCGATGGCGATGGCGATGGCGTCGTGGTCGGCGGCGAAGCGGCCGAGGCCCAGGAGGATGGGCCGCGTCCCGAGCCGAGCTTCCTTCTCGGGAGCCGGCCGGTGTCAGCGCCGTGGATGCACGGGGAAGAAGAGCCCATGACGAACCAATTGGTTTCTGACGAGGAAGGGTTGGATGGGGATGGTGCTTCCGAGGATGAGATGGGTTTAGTTGATGGAGACGGAGACGAAGACGAAGATTTGGGGAGTGAGGAGGAGACGCTAAGTGAGAGCTCAGACGGGGAATTCTCCGAGGATTATGCAGCACCGGCCGCAAATTCTTCTTCTATGATGGATTCGGTACTGGACCATGTTTCTTCAGGTGGTGGGTTTTATAGAGGTACTAGGCGGAGTAGCGTAAATTCAATTGTTAACACAATGAGGAATTCGATGGAGGAAAGTAGTAGAAATGCTGCGATTGAGTGTCCCGAGACCGAGGATTTTGTCCAGAAGCTCGGTCCTGTGCTCCTCCCATGGGAGAGGGAGGGGGATGTCGATAGGCCGAGAAAGCGCAGCAACACGGAGCTGGCTGAGAGGACTATCCCAGAGCACGAGCTGCGGAGGCTTAGAGATGTGGCATTGAGGATGAAGGAGAGGATGAGGGTTGGTCCAGGAGGGGTCACTCAGCTCATTGTGGAGAGCATTCATCAGAAATGGAGGGTGGAAGAGGTGGTCAAGCTGAGATTTGAAGGACCTCCAAGCCTGAACATGAAGAGAACTCATGATATACTAGAGGTGCGGTTACCTTTTGCTGTCTCATGTTTTGTTCATTCACAATTTTTTCGTGGCGTGAAATCTGATAGTTACTTTGTTATCTTGCTCTTATCTATCAGGAGAGGACTGGAGGAATTGTAATATGGAGGTCAGGGAGATCAGTTGTTTTATATAGGGGAATGAACTACAACCTTCGATGTGTGCAGTCGTATACACAAACTACAGAGGTTAATTTTGATAAAAGAGTTAGTAGTAATAGTGTTGAACCTATCCATGTTGAACATAAATTTCAGAAGTCAGGTGCAGATGGACTGAATCGCTCAGCATATATTGTCAATTCCTCTGAAAAACCTACAGAGACATTTGATATCGATAGCTTCTTGGATCAGTTGGGACCGCGGTATAAAGATTGGTCTGGTCGTGGCCCTATTCCTGTGGATGCTGACTTGCTTCCTGGTGTTGTTCCTGGTTACAAGACACCATTTAGACTACTTCCTTACATGGTTAAAAGTACCCTTCGGAATAAGGAAATGACGGCTCTGCGTAGACTTGCAAGGCAAACTGCTCCTCATTTTGCTCTAGGTATTTCAGTGAACTTATCTGAGTAGCTTTTCATCTACCGCATAGTATTCAATTTGTCAATTAATTTCCTTCTTTTCACACTTCATGCGTACCGTGTGGTTTAGGGAGAAACAGGGAACACCAAGGATTAGCTACTGCTATCGTTAAATTGTGGGAGAAAAGTTCTATTGCAAAGATTGCCATCAAGAGGGGGGTTCCAAATACATGCAATGACAGAATGGCAGAAGAAATCAGGGTAAAAGATCATGATAACTATTATCAGTAGTTTGCCTGTTTGCATTCCTGTCTCCACAGTGTTATGTATGTGTTGAATCAAATAAACATGGCATTGCTTGATAAGTAGCTATTTTGCTGCCTTAATTAGTTCTTTTGCTTAATTCACACTTTTTGAATCCTTGAAATGTCAAATTTCTGAGAAAGCTGAGAGTAACAATCTGACAAAGAACGCTTAAGAAATCCACTAATGGACTTTGCTTTCTTCTCCTCTGCACTTCCATACTAATTTACCTCTTCGCCTGCTTGTTCTTGTGACGTATTGAATGCCTTCTTTTCTTGATTCGATGCATGACTGATGGTTAACCTTGAAATATGATCATTGTATTAGTTTCTCTTGCACACTGCAGCCTATGCATGTTTTGAATCTGTGTAACGGAACACTTGCAGAAATTAACAGGAGGAGTGCTTCTATCGAGGAACAAGGAGTACATTGTCTTCTACAGGGGCAATGATTTCATAACACCTAAAGTAAGGCAAGTCTTGGTGGAGAAGCAAGAGCAAGCAATCACTTGGCAGGATGAGGAAGAATTGGCTCGGCTTAAAGCATCAGCCTCGATCAGTGTCAAACCCAAAGTATTTAAAAATCCCCCAGTTGCTGGCACTCTCGCGGAAACTAGAGAGGCAAAATCTCGATGGGGAGATTCCATTAATGCTGAGCTCAGGAAAAAGGAGAAGAATCACATGATTCTTACAAAACATACCTCTCTTTTGAGGAACTTGAAGAGAAAATTGATTTTGGTATGCTCTTCAAAATGCATCTCTAGAAACAAAAGTTTAGTATTTTAATTTCATTACTCATTTGTAAGTAGCATTTTAGCTACTTTTTCCTCCATTGCACAAAGATATCTTTGTGATTATTTGTGTAATATCTACTCCTGTGCAGGCAAAAACAAAGGTCATAAAAGCAGAAAAGGCCTTGGCTAAAGTTCAAGAATTTCTCTCTCCAGCAGAGCTTCCAACTGATTTGGAAACTGTTACAGATGAGGAACGCTTCTTACTTCGCAGAATTGGCCTGAAAATGAAGGCCTTTCTAATGCTTGGTACAACTGGCACTTCTCACTTAACAGTTGTGATATAAAATGCATGTGGTGTTTTATGACTTGTCTATATGCATTAAAATTTTCTCAGGAAGACGAGAAGTTTTTGATGGAACAGTACAGAACATGCACTTGCATTGGAAGCATCGAGAATTAGTCAAGGTTCTTGTAAAGGGGAAGAGCTTTCCACAAGTAAAACATATTGCAATATCTCTGGAAGCTGAAAGTGGAGGAGTGCTCATTTCAGTTGATAAGACGACAAAAGGATATGCAATCATTTTGTACCGGGGTAAGAACTACAAGACGCCCCAAATTTTGAAGCCTCGAAACCTATTGTCAAGGAGAAAAGCATTGGCACGGTCTATAGAGCTCCAAAGGCGGGAGGTAATTCAAGTGCAAAATCTGATTTTCTTTTTCCATTATTTTATTTTTTGAACTCTATGTAAGTTGTATATGTATTTAATCAATTACATGGTCTAAAATAATCTAGGGATTAAATCATCATATCTCAAATCTGCGAGACAAGATCTGGAAGCTGAAGTCTCAACTTGTAAGTCATTTATACACGAGTTCTCTATGACAGTATGACTTATATTTTCTTATAGTAGTAAACATTTCTTGATGATGTTCTCTTCCTATGTCATGACCATCAGGTACGAATGCAAGTTGCTGGGGAAAAACCAGATGCGGAGTTACTTCAAACAGTTGAGGCTGATTTGTCTAAAGATGACGATAAAATAGAGGTAATCATGCATGAAAAATGCTGAGTTCAAAAGCACTGCTGCAAATTACATTTTGTTAATACACACTTATAGCTCGCGGTGTTTGGTGGTGTTGTGATCACCTTCAAATGCCGGCACATCGCTAGTGGTTGACAGGTAGCTTCTGTTGTTGCAGGATGAAGGAGAGGAGGCCTACCTGCAAACTTACATCAGTGAGGATGAAGAGGAACCTGAGGATGATCAGAATGAATATCTCTGAATCTTAACTGGCGAAACTTCGGTGAGTCCGGGAGAAAAGTCAGTAGTAAAGCATTGCATGTTCATATTGTGAAATTTCTGCAGTGTTACTCAAGAGGCAGGCAGTTTTAAGATTCATCTATGGATTATTGCCAACACAAATTGACCTGCAACAGCATTAGTGGCCTTTGTCCATTGCGAGATCAACGACAAAGGATGTAGCTTGAGTGTGTGTGGATTGTGGTGCATGGTCTGCAGTTGCTGCCATTCCTTTTTTTTTTTTTTTTTACCTTGGCTACTTCCATAGCTCCATCCATGCCTGATGCCCTGATGGCCTTCTACATCCTGCAGATTTGAAAAGGTTTCTGTCAACACACGATCAAGTTGTCTGCTGTGCAGAAGTTTGCAAAGTGGCAGTGTATAAATCAGGCTCGTGTGAGTTCGTTTCATTTTGCAGAAGCTGTAATTATATCATGCCATTTTAGAAGAATCCTCCGGTCCACGTTAGATTCATATTTACAACATGAACATGTGAACCTTTCGTTGATACGGAATTTTGAACGGTTTTCTGCGGAATCTCTCAAAGCTGAGAGCGCGATTGCTAATCCGCGCGCGCACGTTTCCGGCCCGCCGCCGGCGCGCGCCTCCCACTCTTTTTTTTTTCGTTTTTCTTTACCCATTTTTTTTCGCTTTTTCCTTTTTTCTGATTATTTTTTTAATTTTTAGCATGTTTTGAGTTTGAAAGTTTTAAATTTTGAGTTGAAAATTTTCAAATTTGAACTTGAAAGTTTTTAAATCTTAACTTGAAAGTTTTCAAATCTCGATTTGAAAGTTTTAAAAATTTTCAAATCTGGACTTGAAAGTTTTTGAATCTCGAGTTGAAAGTTTTCAAATCTCAATTTGAAAGTTTTCAAAATTTCAAATCTGGACTGAAAGTTTTCGAATATCGAGTTGAAAGTTTTCAAATCTCGATTTGAAAATTTTCAAATCTGGACTTGAAAGTTTTCGAATCTCGAGTTAAAAGTTTTCAAATCTCAAATTGAAAGTTTTCAAAATTTTCAAATCTGTACTTGAAAGTTTTCGAATCTCGACTTGAAAGTTTTCGAATTTGAGTTGAAAGTTTTCAAATCTGAGTTGAAAGTTTTTAAAATTTGACTTTAAAATTTAAATCGAAAATTTTCAAATCTAACTTAAAATTTTTTTAATCTGTTAGTAAAAAAAATCTCCATAATCTTTCCTAATTACTATTATTAGTGTTAAGTATATTAATTAATAGAGATAGTTAAGTATATTAACTAATAGTGTTAACAGAGGTAGTTAATAGGGGAGGAGTGCTCGCTAGCAGCGAGCACGCGCTAGCTAGGAGTCCCCAGCTGAGAGCACACGCAGCTACCAAAACCAAGAATTTTTTTCGGTTTTAGATTTTTTTTAAATATTTACATAAATAATCTATCGGCCAAAAAAATTACAAAAATAAACCCTGTCGCCCACCTCTGGGGCGGCAAGCTAACGTGGCAAACGGGGGAGGAACAGGCGTTGATGGAGGGAGGGTTTTTTGCAGGAAAACCCTTGCCGCCCTCTGGTGGGGCAGCAAGGGGCCCGAATGCAAAAAAGCCAGTCGGGGCTGGCCATTCTGCAGGCGGTCCCTTGCCGCCCTCTAGCCGGGTGGCAGGCCTCGCTGCCTATAAAAGGCTTGCCGCCCAGCCCCCAGCCCTCATTCCTCCCCCCTCAAATCCAGTGAAAAAAAAAAGAAGAGAGGGGAGGAGAAGAGAAGAAGGGGCGAAGCCCTGTCGGATTCAGACGCCGATTTCAGGTAATATTCATAGATCCTATATGTGACTATTGAGATAAATAGTGTGTATTTTTTAAAAATTTGTTTGAATAAATGCATTATATTTTTAGGGTTTTAGTTGTACTAATCTAGAAGTGCGTATTGTAGATATCGGTAACTACGTAGATCTACTAGTTTGGAATCAATACATTACCGTTGCATTGGCTTACACAAGAAGATATTACGTTGTAGATGTTTATTGCATGAAAGAGTAATATGATCTAGTTATTTCGTTGACAGATATGTCGAACAAACAAATATTCCAAGTTTACCATGGACCAGGAAACGTCCGTTACGGGCCAACTGGGGTAGATCTGTCAGATTTTATTGTATCAGAAAGGGGAATTGATAGACCGGCTGAGAGGAGTGTACCTTTTATAAAAGGATGGTTAATGAGGGGCTTGAGAGTTGATCCACAGACAAGTGACATAACAATCAATGTTATAGTAAGTCGGGCAACTGAGGGTTTTTATTGGGAATTAATGCCAATTCAAAACTCTCGAGTGTGGAGATGGTATTTGGAAAATGCATTGCAACGCGGGTGGCCTCTAGCTTTGGTTCTGTTTGTTCACCCGAAGGATCCAGGTGTGCAGATGAACATGGATGATGGCGAGGGACCAAGTGCTGAAGTAAATGAGACTTCTGTGGAGGAGGTCAATGCACGAGAGGACGGGGGCGTAGTAGCTCCACTGGGCATTCAACCAGGTGGAGTGGCCGACGAGGGGGAGGCTGTCGGTGCCATTGTGGATGAAATGGAGAGGGAGGATTCTGACAATGAGCGTGTAGAGGAAGGTGATTCGTCAGACGATGAGACGGATATTAATCCAGCAGAATGGGCTAGTGAGGATTTTTCTGGGCTGATCGTCTCTGAAGAGGATAGTGTGAGATGGGAGTACAAAGAAAATGAGGTTATTCAGGGAGCGATTTATAGTAGAGCAGAAGATATGAAGGAGGCGGTAAAACATTTTGCAGTGTCACTTCATAGAGAGTTTTGGGTTGCCAAGTCGAACCGGTCGCAATATGAAGTTCGGTGTGTTAAGGAAAAAGATGGTTGTCCCTGGAGAGTGCACGCGTATAAGGGGAAATGGAAGGATTATTGGACAGTGTCAGTCATTACCAAGCATACATGTTTTCTACCTGGTGTTCAGAAATACCACAGGAACATTACATGTGCATTTGTTGCATGTGAGATGTATGTGCATGTCATCGATAATCTCACATATGAACCAAGGTCAATAATCCGACACATCGAAGAGACATACAAGTATACTATTAGCTATGCCAAGGCCTGGAGGGCCAAACAGAAAATAATAGAGATGAGATTTGGAACTTACGAAGCCTCGTATGACAATTTGCCACGCCTGCTTGGTGTTATCGAGGAAAGAAACCCTGGGAGCTCTTACGAAGTGAAGAAATTCCCCTCAATTGAACATCCTGGCAAGAGTGTGCTGCATAGGGCGTTCTTAGCTCTACATGCATGCAAGATGACATTCGTGAACTGTCGTCCTGTTCTCTGCATTGATGGGACATTCTTGACAGGAAAGTATCGGGGCCAGATACTAACAGCAATAGGGGTAGATGGGAACAATCAGGTATTGCCCTTGGTATTTGCTTTTGTTGAGAGTGAGAATACCGACAGCTGGTACTGGTTCCTGAAATTGGTTAAAACAAAAGTTGTTGGTATGAGGGCAAATGTGTGCCTGATACATGATAGGCACGCTGGCATTCTGCAAGCGATAGAAGAGTTGCAGTTTGGGAGTATGGAATGAGGATACCCTGGTGTTTGGGAAGATGTACAGAGTAGGTGGTGCATGCGTCATATGGGAGCTAATTTCTTCAAGCAATTCAAGAACAAGGAGCTCATGAACATGTTCAAGAGGCTGTGCAATCAGAACCAGGAGAAAAAATTCAATGAGCTTTGGAAGAGATTAGATGAGTTGACAGCCAAATGCAGTGATCAGCGTGCAGCGGCTCCATCGACCGCCGTTGCTGACCCTCCTCAAGCTCTTGGACCTCTCCCAATGGATAGTCCAACATTGGTTAGAAGAACTGGATTGGAGATTCGGAAATTTTCTCAGTGGATTCTGCATGAACCAAAAGAGAAATGGGCCAAGGCGTATGACACAGGTGGTGCTAGATATGGAATAATGACAACAAATTTGGCAGAAGTTTACAACTGGGTGATGCGCGGTGTCCATGGACTGCCACTAGTTGGCATAGTGGAGTTCATTTTACATGGGACATGCAGGTATTTTAGGGATCGGTTCTAGGCAGTTCTTCCCTCTATGCCGAACAACAACATTTTGTTTGGAACTTTCATGCAGAAAAAGCTAGAGGAGTTGCGTAAAAAGGCCATGAAACATCGAGCTCTAGTGCAAAGTACCCAACAGCACAGGTTTGAGATACTATGTCAAGATAAGGCAGGCAGGGGTATCTACCGCAAGAGAGTGAAGCAGGAGTGTGTTCTCAAAGCCGACGGCACATGTCATTGCTCTTGTGCAAAGCCGAAGCTGCTCCACAGGCCATGCACCCATGTCATTGCTGCCGCAGCAGAGTGTGGCATACCAGATGCAGTATATGTGTCACAGTACTTCAGTAAGCAAGCAATATATCATACATGGAGCGGCGAGATTTATGGGTTCGGCATAGCTGGGGAGTTCACAGAGACTAACGATGAAGTACTGTAACGCCCCGATTTTCGTTCGGGATTAAAAATCATTAAATAATGCATTTTCTAAAAATTAAATAAAAGTTAATCAATTTAATCAAGTGAATTATTGGGAAAATTAAAATTTTCCCTTAAAAATCATTGGCCGAGAATATTTTGTAATATTCTTTTTGCCCTAAAACACTCTCCGGATTTTTCCATGAATTTTCGGAACTCAAGAAATAATTTTAAAAGCACAAAGTTCATTTTAACCAATTACATAAAAAGAAAAACAATTAAAAATCTCCCCTCCTTCACTTTGGGCCACTTTCGGCCCAAAGCCCTCCTTCTCTCCCTTCCTCGGCCGGCCTCCCCTCTCCTCTCTTGGGCCGTCGGCCCGTTTCCCCTTCCCCTCACGCAAAGTTTAAATAACCCCCTAGGTTCTCCTCCCTCTCTTCCTCCCCGACAGGTGGGCCCGGCGACCCTACCCGTCAGGCCCTCCTCCTACCTTCGGCTTCCCAGGCCGAAGCCGCCATGGCCGGCGGTTGCCGCCCATGTCCCGCCAAATCCGGCGCCCTCCCGCTCGCGCCCTCGCGCCCAAACCGAGTAAAATCGGTTCCCCACCACCTCCTCCACCAAATCCCCCACTTTTCCCCAATTTTTGGCGTCAAATCGAGCCCTACTTTGCCCACGATGTCGCCCACGTTGCCGGCCGTTGCCGCTTCAAATCCGCCACGCCCGGCCACGATTCCTCCTCCCCGAGCCTATAAAAAGCACCCTCGTGCTCTCCTCTTCCGTTTCCCCCTCCTCCCCGAGCTCCTCGTGCCCTCTCCCGTGCTCCCCACGCCGCTCCGCGCGACGCCGCCCGCCGGCGAACTCCGGCTACACGCCGCCGTCGCCGTAGCCACCGCCACGCCACGCCACGCCGTTGGTTCCTTCGGCTTCGCCTCGCCCTGCCGCACCCCGGCCTCCGCTCCGTTTCCCCATCCCATCGCTGCAGCCATCCTCCCACCGCGAACCCGAGCCGCCATTGCCATCCGCCGGCTCCAGCCGCCGCTTCTCGCCGCTTCAGCCACCGCCGTGCCGTGC